CCCTCGGAGGACCAGATGTTCCATGCCCCCCAGCAAGCGCCCCTTCGCGACAGTCTGCAGCTTTAAGCAGCTAAATGTTACCTGTGCCTGAAAAGTAGTTTAGCATAAAGCTGGGGCCAAGAGATTTCCGGTCCTTTGCTCTTCCAGAAGACTGCTCTTTTAGCGTGAGAACCATTTGGATTCCAGTCTTCTCCCAGTAACAGTTCAAAGCACCAGTTAGGACTCCAAGCCTCACCTCTACTGCCCAGGTGTTTCTCCATCAGCAGATGCTACATTGTAGGAGCTGCGCAGTTGGGCAAGGCCTCTCGCAGGACCCCTAAGGAAACAGGCAATCTGCAAAGCAGGATTGTTCACCGAGAGAGGAAATTTATACAGTTTGGCAAGGGCAGGCATTGATTTTGGGTTTCAAGCTAGTTTGACCCAAATGCCAGGATTATAACAATCTGAATTGCCAATTGTTCTGGGAATTATAGTATTAACGCACCTGAGGGACATCCTGTTGCAGAAACCTTTTGCAAATAACCTAATCCTTATTTACCTCTAAAGGGTGGTCTAACTTTATAGCAGCTTCTCTCCTCTCCCACAAATTTTCTTATCTCTGTACATACAAGAGGCTGTGGTTATTTGGGATCTAGGAAACAAGAGGAAAACTTTTTCTGCATAAAGCAGCAGATTTGAATGGATTTCGGGCTATGGAACAACCAGGCTCGCTTAGAAGGAAATATCTAACATAGGCATCAAATATGTTACAAGGAAACATGATAGGATCCATTTCCTGTCCTAAATATGTGTACTTACTGATGCATAAAGCCTGCCAGATGTAAATATGCATATTTTTCATTCTGTAGCACTTCAATAGCTTAACAAAACAAAAAACTAGAGCCCGCAAAGTGCCTAATCATGTGGAAGACAATCAATCCACTATCGCAGCTTGCTAAATCTTCAGTTGGGATTGGTGAGCACACAGTCAGTGCCGTAACTGATCAGGGGCATTCAAAACCGAAGCCTTGGTCAGCCGCATCAGAGGACTTGTGTGTGAACAATCTTAACTTGTGTGCATCGAAGCAGAAACAAATCAACAGTACTTTAAAAAGTAGACTTACGGCAGCGTGGACTTTCTTGGCCTTTCCGTTTTTCATATCAGAGTTTTATATCTCCTAAGTCCTTTTTCCTCTACGTGTAAAAGAATCATTATAGGCAGGCTGAGAGATTGATGAATCTATTCAGCGTTTATGAAAATGGTGCAGAAAGGAAGTTTAAGCTGTTAGGCATCTTTATAATAAATATGAAGTCCTCTCTGTTGTCCAGAAGTTATTTCAGCTGTATTTGCCCTGGGAAAGAGGAAGGAGAGAAAATGAATTGTTTCATTGTGTGGGAAGTGACAACAACTAGATAAAAATTTTCTCCTAAAACGCATTGAAATGGAAAAACAATACCCTACTGTTTTGACTGCAACACTTGTTAAGGAATAATGTGACGGTTCATTATAGTCTCGGAGTGCAGGAAATGTGTCCTCTAAACATACACGTGCTGTGTTTTGAAGGCTGTTGTGTTTGCCTGTTCTTTCCAGACAACCTGTGAAGAGACCCCAGCAAAATCATCTGCAGAGTAACTAAATTCTGCAAATTTGACAGTTTTCAAAAACGAGAGAGGCCTTCTAAGGGGAGATTGGAGAGGAATGGGGGTCTGTTGGACACAGCTGGCATGTCACACTTCATTTGCAGCAAAATATCTTGACCTCAGGAAGCTAAAGGGTGATAATGGCCCAAAACAACATTATGAGCTTCTCCTGTTCACTACAGAGGCAGAAAAATGAACACAACCAGGATTGTCTAGCTTTTTTGCCCTCATGAGGCAGTTCTTGGATTTTCAAATTCTAATTGAATGCCTCTGGGGTGTTTTCTTGGGGAATGAATAACCAGGTTTCCTTAACTATGTTTGGCAGAGATGTGCAGGAGAAAAAGAGGATCGCATCTCTACTCTCCTGCAAAAATTGTGCTTTGAAAGATGTCTAAACCAGATGGTCCGAGGACCAAAGAGAAGGCTGAACTATGGTAGAGGAGCCTTTCGTGGTTGACCCGCCCCAAATGCCGTGGGGCTAAGGACTAGCTTGCTTTTAGAAGAAGCGTATGTTGTTTTCAGGAGGTTGTGTGGGAAGTGACTTCTGCCTTATCTCTTGACCTTGGGCTAAGTCCCTTTGATGTGGCAATCCTGCCCTCGCCTGGCCTTTATCACAAGGAGCCGGTCTTCATAATCAAATCCCTTAAAAGGTTTTGTGGCCAAATGCAGAGTAATAACAGGGAAAGGACTCGGGACAGATTTTTTACACACTCCAAAGATCCAAAAGGATTGGCTGCCCCGTGCCCTTGGCAAAATGGGCATGAAGAACCCAGGTGGGAAGGAGGAACAGAAAGCTGGCTTGGCCACCAACTTGCAATGAGAATCCGCAAAAAGCCTTGGCAAGCAGGGATCATGTTCCAGTAGAAGACAACAATCAAGCAATCCATCAATTAAGCAGAAAACAAATCCTTCATCAAGGAACTGCTCAGCAGAAAACCATAACCCACCAAGACGGACAGGGCAAGCCACAGTAGTTCAACAGGGAGCAACGCTAATCTCCATTTCCCCCGGATTAATGTTGCTGGCTATGTGGGCAAAGAAAGGTTTGTGCAGTCGGTGTGCGCAGAGCGTATCTTATTGTCAAGGAACATGTTTTGTTTACAGATATTTTGCAAACACGGAAATTTGGGGCGAGGGCCGCTAGAGGGCAGAATCCGACAAGGACAAAAATAAAAAACAGCCACTATATCCCAAAGTTTATTTCAGGCAAGCAACATCTCCTTTTATTTTCAGGTTATGTGATCTCTGCCTGCTAGGTTGTTGTTTTCCCACCTGCCCCTGTCAAGGCCAGTTTGGGCCATGTCAGCTCCACGAAATTAAAATTATGCACTTGCATGTTTGTTTACTTTGTAGAAGGAGAGATGGAGGAGTCTGTGTTGGTTAAAAATAAAAGGTAGGGATGGGCTGGCACCTTTTTCCAGCTAAAACAATTTTGTTAAAAAGGCAGAAGCTTTGTGGGGCTCATCTGAAGCCTTTAGCTGGTAAATGCAAGATCTGTAGATCTGCTGCTAGGCTAACATCTGGTACTTAAAGCAAATATATTTTCTCTGTAGCTGATGAGCCAGCAGCGCTGGGAACAAGCAGGTGAGACTGCTGCGAAAACCAAACAGCCCAGTTGGTCATTAAGATATTAATCACTTTTGCTAATTCATGGAGGAAAAAGCACGGATAGCCTACAATTCTATTTGCAGCACACGGGGAAGGAAATATTTATTATAGACTGAATGATAGCATTAGTGAAAACTATTACCAAGGATGCTTCTTTCAATAAAGGTGAGCCAATCAAATGGACTGCAATTATCTCTCTTTTCAAACACAAAGCTTTCCTCTTTTCTAGACCCGTCACCTGCCAGGCCCCTTTTCAAAGGATGTCAAGTTACAAACAAAAAGGTGCCCTCTGCGTAACAAGCTGAATGTATCCATATTTTTGATTCCCACTCGATTATTTATTTGGATATATGAACGTACAACAATATAATTTGCCTACAATAGATTGGGCCTGGTCTAAAAAGGCAGTGGGGGAGACGAGACAAAATTTGATTTTTAAGGTCTAGGTTTTGTTGGTTGCCAAATTGGGAAATTTTGCACCGGTCTAAAATAGATGCAAGAACCAATTTTATTCATCACGTAGAATAACAGAATTATTGAAGGTCCTCTAGTCCAACCCTCTGCTCAGGCAGGAAACCCTATCCCATTTCAGACAGACTGTCCAGTCTCTTCTTGAAAACCTCCAGTGATGAAGCATCCACAACTTCTGGAGGCGAGTGGTTCTGCTGATTAGTTATTCTGTCAGAAATTCCTCCTTAATTCTAGACTGGTGCTCTCAATTAGTTTCTATCCATTGGGTGCCTTTTGGTGCTTTGGAGAACAGTTTGACACCCCCCCCCTCGTATTTGTAGGAGCCCCTCAAATATTGGAAGACTGCTGTCCTGTTGGTCTTAGTTCTTCTCTTCATTAGACTAGACACCCCTGGGGAGCCACTGATGGGAACTGCTCTTAAACCTCCCTTTTCACTTTGGCAGGGATGGAAATGGGGCCCTTCTGATAGGCAAGAAGAGGTGCTGCAAACCCCAGCTATCACAATTTCATCTGCCTTCTGACTTTTGAGGGGCTTAAGCACTTTGGCCGTTCTGGACCCTCTCTCCCTCCCAATAACCTTTGAAAATTATGAATCAATAAATTTTAAAACTATTCTTAAAACAAATTTTATTTTATTTTTATTTTATTTTTAAAATTTATAAACCACCCCACTCCCGTAGGACTCCGGGCGGCTAACAATAAAAACAACATAAAACATGACAACAAAACAATGCAGTTACAGTCATCCAGGGCTCAGGTTTCATAAACCCCAGGCCTGCCGGAAAAGCCAGGTCTTAAGCAGCTTACGGAAAACCAACTGTTTAAAAAAAACAGTTTTAAAAATTATGTTTCACGGGTCGATCAATATTTTTGTGTTTTGGCAGAGGAGAAGCTCTCCTCTCTTCCAGAGTTTTAGAAATAAAAAGGATGGTGGTGATTTAGGGACTCGACTTAGATCCTCGGTCGGAGGTTCAAACGCGGCGGGTTGATCCGCTTCTGAATGGCCAGGTCCAAACCCCGGGATTTACTCCGATCGGATTGGTTACGAAAACGACCCCTTCCCCTACTTTCGCCGGGTCCCCAGCAGCGTCGATTCGGGGAGGGGGGGCTCCGGGGCAGCCTCGGCCTGGGGCTTCGAGGGTCCCAAGGGAAGGCAAGCCAAGGCGGGCGCGCCGTCCCGGGGAGGTTGCCGACCCTGGCGCGCGGGGGCGCTGGGCGCGCTCTCGCCTTCTCCTCCTCCTGCTGCTCCTCCCTCTCCCCCTTCCTCCTCCTCCGGGCCGGCCGGGGCGCGCTTCTGCTGCGGCGGCGGTGGCGGCTGGGCGGGCGCGCCTTTCTCACGTGCCGGGGCGGGTCCCGGCCGGCGCCGGCGGATAAAAGGCGAGGGCGCGGGGCCCGGGCCGAGCGCGTGGCGCGTCCTCCGGCGGGGTCATGTCGGGCGGCTCAGCCAAGAAGCGCGGCTCGGCGGCGGCGGCCGAGGAGGAGGCGGAGGCGGCGCGGGGGATGCTGGCGGGCCCGCGGGGCAACGGCTGCGCGGCGGCGGGCGACGGCGGCGGGGTGGCGTTGAAGCGCAACATCACCCTGCTGAACGGCGTGGCCATCATCGTGGGCACCATCATCGGCTCGGGCATCTTCGTGACGCCCACCGGGGTGCTGAGGGAGGCCGGCTCGCCCGGGCTGGCGCTGGTGATCTGGGCGGCCTGCGGCGCCTTCTCCATCGCGGGCGCGCTCTGCTACGCCGAGCTGGGCACCACCATCTCCAAGTCGGGCGGCGACTACGCCTACATGCTGGAGGTCTACGGCTCGCTGCCCGCCTTCCTGAAGCTCTGGATCGAGCTGCTCATCATCCGGCCCTCCTCGCAGTACATCGTGGCCTTCGTCTTCGCCACCTACCTGCTCAAGCCGCTCTTCCCCACCTGCCCGGTCCCGCTGGGCGCCGCCAAGCTGGTCGCCTGCCTCTGCGTGCGTGAGTAGCCCCGAACATGTGCAGAGGGCCGCGGGGAGGAGAGACGGGGACGGGGACCCCGGCGCGGCCGGGCGGGAGGAAGCGGTGGGCCCCGTCCCCGGCCGGGCTGCGCCACGAGCCCTCCGGCTTCCCTTCCGGCGTGGGAAGCGGCGCTGCGATCGCCCGCCGTCCTGCCCTGCCCGGGAAGGGGAGCCGCGGCGCCCCAGGCTCGCGGAGTCCGGACCGGTTTTCCCGAGGCTCCTCCTGCCTTGCCGGCCCCCCCCGCTCTGTTCCTGGTCCGGGCCAGGCGGGGCTGCGGCTCTAGCCAAGCGGCGGCGCCGAGTCTGCAAACGCCGGGTTTCCTCGGCTTCGGAGCAGCTCCGGATCCAGGCAGCGGAGCCTTGCTTGGGGAATCAGACCCCCCCCCGCGCCGCCAGTCCGCCTTGCTATATTCCAATAACCCCCCCCGCCTCCTTCCCCCCCCTGTGTGAAGGGTTTCCAGCAGTCGCCCCCCAAATCCCAACTGTCTGGTTGAGGCACTCCGAGTCCCCCGCGGCCTCCCCAAGCCCTCTTCTGTCTTTCGAAAAAGGGCTCAATCTTTCCAAAGTGCCTCCCTGGCTGCCTCTTCCCTCCGTCCGCCCCCCCCCCCGTGTCTCGTTCCACAATGCGGTGCTGTCTCTTTTGCCATCACGGGTTTGCACGCTCTTCTGCGCTGCATCCAGCAGGAAATCGGGGTCAACCAGATGGCGCTTCGTTGCAGATGGAGGGGAGGCGGGCGCTCCCCTTCTCCCTCCACCCCCGCATGGCAGAAAGGGACCCCGCGCCCTCCTGGGCCAAAGCCAGGCTGGGCACTGCAATTGGAGGGTCTTTTTGATTTTTCTTTTCCCAAACCGGAGGGCCGTGTTGTCTCAGAGGGGTGGGGCCTCGGGATGAGAAACCCCTCCCTCTGCAAAGCCCCACCCGCTGCTTGTCCTTCCTCCCCCTACAAGGAGGGGCTGGAAGTTTGCTCTGCTTGGAGGAAGCGGCTGACTTTCTCCACGTGGAGGGAAACCCTCGCCTGTCTTCAGAAAGAAAGGATCCTGGGCGCCTCTCCTTGACTCGCTGCCCTCCTTAGCCCGCCTCTGCAACAGACACTGGGGGGGGGAGGGGGCTTCCCTGGTGCAGGTCCTAGGGGAAAACTAGAAGCGTGAGATCCCTTTCGTGCCCGGAGCCAGTTCCTCTCTTTCCTTCCCTTTAAGCTTCACTGGAATGCTTTGCATTTACTTGCAGAAATGGCAATCACCAAGTTTGCTTGCAAATTCTGACAAGCTGCTTTGTGTCCATCTTATTTTTGTTTGGTAGCAATTTCTCAGGGTCCTGGGCAGAAAAACCAGGCTGGGGGGTAGTGGTCAGGAGATTTTCCTTCCTTCCTTCCTTCCTTCCTTCCTTCCTTCCTTCCTTCCTTCCTTCCTTCCTTCCTTCCTTCCTTCCTTCCCTAAATTTATATGCTAGCCATTCTTAGGACAGAAAGGGGCTAGCAAAAATCCACTGCTTTTTCTGAAGAAGGATAGAAAACAAAATTTAAGTATCCAAGAAGAACTGAATAGTTGAGTGCTAAAGCAGCAATTGTAAAACCTTTCTGTTTTCCCACAATTTATATTAAATTATCGATAAACCCAAATTTGCATGTCTGGACACTCCCCTTCTATCTATGCCTGAAACCCTGTGCAGATGTGACTGTGCGATTAAGTCACTTTTCCACCTCTGTCTCCCCCCCCCCACCCCCAACTGTCTTGCCGGCAGAAGAGCTCTTAGAAGTGTGGCACACTTTTGCAGAATTTTCCTTGACGTAATAAAAGGGCAACTCCAGGGTGGGTGACGGTTCCAGGGAAGAAGCGAAAGCAGAGAAGGTCCTTCGAGTGGCACCTTGCAGGCGAAGGCCTTCCCTTGATGCATGAACACATCTGGAGGGCGCCGGGTTGAAGAAGCTGCTCTGGGGAAGATGGACTGGTTTTCCTCCTTTGCTCATGGATTTCCGTCAGTCTTCTGCCTCTTGGTCTCCTGGTTAATGGGGGAGTGCTAGAGTCTGTGATTGGTGCACGGGAGAGGGGCAGTTTGAGGGTAGCCCAAGGCTCTTCGGAAGACAAGAGGGCTTGGCCTCAGAGTGGCGTTGCCACCGTGCTTAGAAAGCTGGTTCCTTGGTTTGGTTTTAAAATGATTGCAACCTCTCAACTCTGGAAGAAAGTCTTGGTGGCACCAAGGGAGGCTGTATGTCATCAGAGTTGAGGGTTCATCTTTTGCAAATGCCTCCCTGTGAAGAGGGAAAGAAATGTATCTGCTGGCTTCTCAAAGGATCTCTTGTCTTCTTCGTTTGCCCTGCATCTTAACAGCCAGCCCTTCGAGGCAGTCCAGACGAGAAGAACATACTATGGCTACCTTTATGGTAAGCTCCTGGTAGCGGAACCCTGCAAATCTGGGAGCACTGCCTTTTGTGTTCATTGTGCAGCAAATTAGGGAGGGTCCCTCCTGAAGTGCTTCCCACGCCCCTTTTCCTTCTGCCCGCTGAGATGCCTTTGCAGGACACTCAATCGGCTTGGTGCTCTTCCTTCTATCTCTCGACGTACTTCCCACTAACCAGCATGGTGGCATTGTGGTTTAGGTTGGAAAAAAGGTCAGAAAGAAGATCCCTGTTGAATGAAGCCCTGCCTAATTCAGCAGGGCCTCCCCAGGGGGCTCCTTGACGGGCTGCCTTGGCTAGAGAGAGAGCCCCCAGGGGCAGACTGCCTTCTTTTATGCCTGCCCACTTTCTGCAAAACAGGCTGGCCGAGTGACCACAGGGGAATTGTGTGGATTTCGTTGCAAAAATGGAAGGATCTTGTGTGATCAGAGCTGGGCTTAGTCCTGCAGTGGCACCACGTGCTCTAAATGCCCACGTGGGGACTCTGCTGTGCTCATTTATTTCAGGAATGTCTACAGCTGCGGCACCTCAGAGATTAAAACCAAGTGGAAACAATAGTGCCACATATAATGCAGTGCACCAAGGGCGGCAATATGCCACGTGGTGCCAGGTTGGTGCAACTGCTGCTGCTGCTGCTTCCTCCTGCCCTCGTTTTCCACCTGGCTGGTTGGGAAAGGAGGTGGGCAGGAGGAAGGCCTCTCTGCATGCAAGATTGGGGAAGGGGGCATCATGTGCCGTTGCTCAGCAACCACATGGGCTCCCACCTTGCTGCTAGGTTACGACAGAATCCGTGGCAGCCACGCTGGCGTTGCCCAGCAACTGCACACATGACGTCTGGGCTGTTGGTGTTCCTTTTTTTTTGCTGATCGGTCTAGCTGCAGATTTGCAAGGATGGCCCTGGAGGTTATTGGCTGACCTCTGCCCGGCATGGCTGGGCCGGTTTCTTGCCTGTTGGGCCAACCAGGCATTATTCCGGGGACAAGTTTGGCCCCTGGGCAGCTAGTTGCTGAACCGACCGCAGTGTAACATTACAAGGTGGGAAGGAACTTTGAAGCAGACTTTTAGCAATGCGCACTTAAATTTTTTTACCTGGTGTCTCAGTAAAGAGTCTTTTTGATTATCTTTTAAAAATGCAGTTATCTGTGTTGGAATTGGACCCACTGAGTTGTGCAAGGCTTTGTTGCTTGCTCTCCCGGTGCAGAATGGAAAACATGACAATTGGTGGAAGCAAAAGTGCCACCTTCTATGGTCCTCACTATCCCCCCCCCCTTTTTTTTTTTCCTGCTCAATGCTTCTGCTGGCCAGGTTTGGTTCCCTTAACTCAGCTGATGGGAAAAGTAACCCTGATCCATTGTTGGCTTGCTGAGAACATGTTCTTGGGTGCCTCAATTGTCCTGGAGGTTTTCTTTTTCCACCCTGATTGGGCCACGATAAAGGATGGGCAGCTTCTGAAACCTGGGAAATCCTTTTGAAGTTCTCAGCACTGAAGGGGAATCCGTGGACCGCAACGGGGCCTCTACCACCCTCTGTCCCGCGGGCGAGTGTGAATCACAAGTGTGTTGGCGAGAACTGCAAGATCAGGCAGATTTTCTGGAGAAAGAGAGGCGCCCAGCCAAGAGTCCCAGGGACTGCAGTGATTGTAGAAAAACCTTACGGAGAGAAATAATGTTTGAATCTCCTAGCATCTCCGTCTTTGAGGTGGATTGGTCATCCCCATCTGTCTTTGTTTTTACAACCGTACAATCGGCGGTGCAGTTGTTTTTTCCTGACTGTGCGAGAACTCAGCTCACAGCTTGTCTGCCATTTCGTGGCCAGGAGCAGAACAAAAATACATCAGATCCAAAAACTTGAGGCGGGGGGGCCCTGCAAGACTGTCTGAACGGGCTCCACTCGCTGCATTTCATCTGTGACTAGATGCTTCTTGATGACAGATCTTTAGACTTCCCAGAAATAATTGTGCCCATATTGTACCTCCCACAATTTACAGCCAGGTCAATTTGGTGGATGATGGTTGTTTCACCCCAAAAAGCAGGAGTTGTTTTTCTTCACAACTTCTGTGCCTATTATTTCTCTAGACAGTGGTTGGGTTTATGTGAATTGAGGACCATTCGATCACAACAGACCAACTTTGTACAACTGCTAAATCATGGTCTGAAAACCCAGCGGTTGGAACTGACCCAGCATGTCAAACCAAACCAAAAATATGTACGGTACTTTGTAAAGCAGGCCAGAATTGTAATGGTGCATCTGATGCACTATTAAGATTACACAACCTGCAGGGTTTGATTGTTAACCTTGGTTACTTTTCCTTGTCGAAATCAGCCCTTCTGGTTAGTTTCTGGTTCTAGCGTAATGGAGAACCCAGAAAACAGATCAGTTCAGTGAATAGGCAAATGCTGTTATAGGAAGGCAACTTGTTCTGTACATTGAACAAATCAAAGACTATTGAAGGACAGGAGAGACGGTTTAGCCATTCCTGCATACAAACTTTAAAACACAACTGTACAAAAAGTGGTTAAAGTTGTCCTGGCGTAAGGGGGTAGATGAATTCAGAACTGGAAATAATTCAGGTGCAGGAGTTCTTCTACTGCAGATAATGAGAAGATTTTGCACTTCCCTCCAACACCTGTTTTTCTCTGTTTGGCATCTCTGGTGCGTTTTAATCCAGTTAATATCCTGGGTGTGTTTCCAGCCTGGCAGGTATTTTCTTCTATTTCTTTGAAGCAAAAACCTGGGATTTGGGTTAGGCCTGGGGGATGATCTTGGACATGGCTCGGATTGAAATATGCCACCTGCCACAAGATGCCGGTTGCTTGCCAGCCAAATGGCTGGATAGATCCTTGATTGCGAGCAGGATGGTTTGTGTTGTTCAAGCCAAAAAAACACAGTTCAATTTGGTTTCTTCTTCGCACTCTGATTTTTTTTATAGCCCCCCCCCCTCACTCTGGAGTGACTGGCCGTCTTGGATTATAATGATTTAGAAATTGGGTCACAAGCCTATGGAGACAAAGGCCTATTTACAGGGATGAAACAGACAAACTGGTTTGGGGGCAGCTGAAGGGGAGGAGGCCAGTCTCTGACTAGCTTGGGGTTGTCTTTGCCAAGCCTTTGATCTCAGTTGGGGTACATTCTTGACCTTTCCTAGTCAACCGATGGCGAGATCCTTTGGTAAGCTCAGCCCAGGCAAAGTCTTGAAAGAGGAGGAAGGGTGCCTGGTTCAACCCTGTCCAAGAAATGGCTTTTTCCTTCTGCTTCTGAAGTTTGCCTGGAAATGCTGAATTCAAATGTTGAAATGACTTTCCATGATTTATGGATTTTTGAAGAAGAAAAAGCATTTGAGGCTGGCAAGAGATACTTGAGGGTTGTTTCCCTGTTCTTGCCTGGAGTTGAGATAGATGTAAGAGGCTGCCAGGGGTGGGGTGGGGGTTGAAGAGATGACTGGAGCTGTTCATTCTGAACCACCACCCCCCCTTAACACATGGTCTAAGCACAGTATTTGTTCTCCACTGATAGTGGTTATCTTTCACTTCCAGAATTTTGTGAGGCCAGTCTACTGATTGTAGACCTTCTTCCCCACACAGTCAGAAGGTAAAATGCAAAGAATGGCTAGCTGTTGGGCGGGGAGGGGGGCGGTAAATGAAGAGAAAGCCCCTCTCCTTGCCGATATGGTCCCTCCACCCCAGCAGAATGGGTGCTCCAATTTTCTTTGATTGTCTCAGCGATCATGCCTTGCTTGCTCCACCAAGGAGGCTCTTGCTGAGTGTGTCAGTGACAACTGGGAGCTGAAGACCGTTCTTCTTCATGTATTCCATCAGTTGAAAGCAAGAATACTTGGCTTTCCAGATGTTGAGAGCCACAACTCCCAACAGCCCCAGCCTGAACTCTGGAGAATGGCACACTTTGCAGATGTTCTTTTATGGGTGTTGGGATCTGTACTTTGGGGCATTCATAGTTCCAGTTGTCTCATTGTAGCGCTCCCTTGAACCCTCTTGAGATAATGCACGATGATCTCCATGTTTGCAGAGCCAAAGGGCTGAGACAGGCTTTAATCCTCTGGGGTTTTCCTGGAAAGACTTTAAGCCCCTCCAGGGGACAATCAGCCCTGTTGAATGAAACCAAGAGTTTCTCGGGTGCAGTTGTGCTGTTACTCAAACTGGTTTGGGCTCTTGTGGACTCAAAGGTCTCCTTGCAAATCTGAGTTTGTAAATACCTTAAGAAGAGCTTGCTAGAGAAATGGCTGTGCTCTTCCAGCTAAGAAAGTAGAGCGCTACAGGAGCTAGCACAGGCCTCTCTGCTCTTTGCAGAAGCGAAGTGACGCCCTGCCTGGGATTATATTTAGCGCCACAACAGCCCTGGTCCTTGTGTGACGTTTCCTGTTTCCACCTTAGGAGAGGACCTTCTCAGCTTCTGCCACTTTTGGCCAGCAGCCCAAACTCTGCAAACACAGGGTGGGGAGGGGGAAACCGCCAAGGTGGCTCAATGGAGCAGGCGCGGGTGATGCAACCGCCTGTCTCTGTTGCTTGAGTGGGGAAGGGAAGGAGGCGGAAGTTGAGTCAACTCATCTATTCAGAAGAGGAAGTATCACTCCCATTTCTCCATCCACCTTAATGATCAGTGAGAATTGCATCAGAAAAGTCTTTTCAAGGATGTACTCAAGCTGACAAAAGGGTTGACAAAAGGGTGCATTGGAGTTTATCCTTGTCTGTGGTTCATCCTGGGTGCTTAGCATGGAGAGTGCTCAGTGTCAGGCACAGAACAGTGGCGCATAACGGAACAGCAGGAGAGAAAGCCCAGTTTATTTAAAAAGCAAATCAATCGGGGTGATCTGGTCCTTTGCCTGAAGTCTTAAAAGGCTGTGTTAGAGATATAATCAAGGGTGGTAGATCACATTGAGGACATAGAGGGCAAATTAGGACATGTGGGGCAGAAGTGTGGAATTAGGCTGTCCACACAAAGGCAGAAGAAGCTCACAAAAATTAATCTTGGACAGAGAAGGTATCAGACTGACTGATTTTCTTCCACACGCATATACACAATACACAAAAGGATGCAATCTGTCAAGTTGTGTGCTGCTCTCTGAGCTTGGTGTGTGGCTTGCAGACGTTTCATTACCCTGCTAGGTAACATCACCAGTGCTGCTGAATATGGGGTTTGTTCCCTTTTTATCCACAGTATCTTGCCTTCTGCCTTTATTGGTGGGGTGCAGTTTTCTTTCAGTTATTGTTTTCTGCTTGGGTGTTTGTTTAGTGTTAATCCCTGCTAACCTGGCTGTTGTTTGCTGGAGAGGATGTGTTCTGGTGTTTTTGTTTCCTTAGTGTTTTTATTGTCTCTCTTGAATGGTGTTTAAATTCAGTTTATCTGTTGAAGGCTGATTTGTCTGAATGACAAGCTTCCAGGAATTCTCTGTGTCTGTTTTTTTACTTTTGGGGCTGCTGGGTCTTTTGGTTGACTAAGGGGTCTTCAAACTTGGCCCTTTTATGACCTGTGGACTTCAACTCCCAGAATTCCTCAGCCAGGTATGCCCCAGGCCCCAACCGTGTCTGGCTGAGGAATTCTGGGAGTTGAAATCCACAAGTCATAAAAGGGCCAAGTTTGAAGACCCTTGACTTAAGGCGTTTTCAAAGGGTTTGGTTGGTTTGTATACTACCACGATCCCACATAGTTCCTTCCTGTATTTATGAATTATGAGAAGCTGCTAAATACATAGAAAATAATCCTATTAAACTAGTGGATTTATTTTGCACGAACTGTTGGCCCTCAGCTCCTGAGCTATGCTGTTTTTGAAAAAAAAAATGCCTGCAGATTTACTTACTCATGGCTCTTTCTGGCATGTTTCTCTCCAGTCCTGCTGACAGCGGTCAACTGCTACAGCGTGAAGGCTGCTACTCGTGTGCAAGACGCCTTTGCAGCCGCCAAGCTCCTGGCCCTCGCCTTGATCATCATCCTTGGCTTCGTGCAGCTTGGGAAGGGTAGGTGTCTCCTCCTCTCCTGCTTTGCAAAGGGTGGGAGGGCGGGCAGAAGCCAGTCCAGGGCTGGGAGTCAGATAAATGCTGGCCATACTCACACCCAGGCCAAACTGAAAAAAATAAAAAAAATGCTTCATGAAAATCAAAGCATTGTGTCTTTGAGCAGAAACATAGAGGTAAGTTCTCAACTTCCAACTATTGGTTTAGTGGCCATTTGAAAAAAGTGATTTATGATCATTTTTCACACTTACAAGCATTGCAGCATCCCAAGGTCATGTGATCAGAATTCAGACACTGGGTAACTGACTTGTCCCTTTTGTGACCTTCTGACAGCAAAGCCATTGGGGAAGCCAGCTTCACTTAACAACCGTGTTACTAACTTAACAGCAGTGACTCACTTAATCACCGTGGCAAGAAAGATTGTAAAATGGGGCAAAACACACAACTGTCTTGTTTAACAACAGAAACTTTGGGTTGAGTTGTGATCATAAATCCAGGCCTGCCTCTAGTTCAGGGATAGGCAACCTTGGCTCTTTTATGACTGGCGGACTTCAACTCCCAGGATTCCTCAGCCAGCCTGGCTCAGCTTGGAAACCCCTCGCTTTCCCCTCAGCGTGGCTGGCTCAGGAATTCTGGGAGTTGAAGTCTACAAGTCATGAGGGGGTCATAGTTCCCCCATGCTGGCTCAGGAATTCTGGGAGTTGAAGTCCACCAGTCATAAAAGAGCCAAGGTTGCCTACCCCTGAACTAGTTCTACTTTTTGTTTGTTTATTTGTCAAATTTAGAGACTGCCCATCTCACTTACGAGAGCAACTTGTATAAAAATATACATATACCTAGAAAAACCCTTCTTGGAGGAGTACTGACTCAATGTTGTAGGACCACAAGTGACTCATACCTCGGCCCTAGGACCAGCTTGGTGCTTGTGTCGAGAAGCAACAGCTGCTCATGCCGGAAGGAAGAGCTAACATTCTTGGTTTGTAGCCCAGTTATTTCCCCTGTCCACTTCTAAAAACACGTGTGCTATCGGCTGCTATTTCAAATAAAGCGTTCTCTGGACAGCTTTGTTTTAATGCTATTGGGATGGGGGGCTTGTCCCAGTTTTGTGACGCTCCTTGTGTCAGATTTCCGTCCTGAAAATACCAGGTCAGGTCAAATACCTGGGAATTCTGTCTGGCTACTTTGGTGATGAAGGAAAAATAAGCCTTGTGATCCACTTTTGCGACCTTCTGACCAGCAAAGTCAATGGGGAAGCGAGTTTCATTTAACAACCTTGTTATTAACGTAACAACTACAGTGATTCACCTAATAGCTGTGGCAAAAAGGTCGTAAAACAGGGCAAAACACACTCTAGTTTCTTAATCTTCCTTTAGGACAGGGATGTCCACGCTTGAGAACATTTAAGACTGGTGGATGTCAACTCCCAGAATTCGCTGGTGGGCTGCAGAATTCTGGGAGTTGAAGTCCACAAGTCTTAAAGTTCCCAAGCTTGGACACCCCTGCTTTGGGATATCTGTAACTCCCTTTTTATCCGTGGCCAGTTGCCTCCTTAACCAGATTCCTAATTCTGAGCAAGGACAATTTCAATTCTTGGTTTTACAATAGTGTGTCAGGAAAATGTTCTTGAGGACTTCATTTTGCAATCCTATTTGGTAATCCCTCTTTTTTTCACCCCTGCCTAAGGTTATATTCCTTTTTATTCTTCTCTTTATTTAGACAAGACTTCTATCTTTTAAAGGAAATCTCCATTTTTCAAATAACCTTCCATTAGGTCCTATTTTTTTCCTGACCTGCAATACACATTCTGGTTGAGTTTCTGTCATTGTGCAACTGAGTAAGCCCTGTCATTTTGGAGCAGTCTGCCCCCACTCAACATTCCTGTTCAGTTTCCTTATCACCAAACCTCTTGTTTTGGACAGGTTTCCTTGTTTGAAGTCTAAAGTGACTCTACATGTTTTGAGGGCCATTTTTTTTAATAAATCCAACACAAGGTGTCATTTGAAAAACATTTCAGCAACTCTGGCTTTTTCCACTGCATTGAAAGCCCCAATTCAAGATTAAATCCAGAGACACCTTTGCTCTGAAAGTTCAACTCTTCTAAGGAAAATCTCTTAGAATTATGGTTTCTCCATATGTCCATTAAGGTCATCTCCTTTACTCTCTACGTATAGGCTACCTGTGGGTCACAAAAATCAGGAAGAGTAGGCTAGTGCCTTTTCCAGTTAACACATTTTAATGTTTTTAGGCATAAGCTTTCATGAGCTGCAGTTCACTTCATCAGATGCATTTAGACTTCCTTTTACTGTAGCTCTGGCTGGATGGATGGCTGGATGGATGGATGAATAGATGGGTGGGCAGATGGAGGGATATGGGACTATGTAAAAAAATGGGTGTCTCAGGCTGGAACAGAGACATGGGAGAGCCAGATGGAGGTGGAGGAATTAAAATTTCTAGAGGAAGTACAGAGGCCTTATTCTTTATTCTTTCTTTATATTTATTCTTTAAAGAATAAAGCTAACTTTGTTAACTGTGCTTCATGGGGAAGACACAAAACTCTTTGGAATGTCTTGCCATTGGCATAAATGACTCCTGGACCTTTTTTTGGAGGGGGGGGGCTTAGAGATGAGCAGATAAGGGGATAGGAAACTTTGGGAAGAAAGAAAAATTCCTTTTGTGGGGTAGAATTAAGGTGGGAGTGAAACCCTTTAGAGCAATCTAAGGCATGATTGTTTAACACAGTGGTTCTCAACCTTTTTAATGCCGCAACCCCCAACTGGTCGTAAGTCGAGGACTAAACCGGTCGTAAATCGAGGACTACCCAACCGGTCATAAGTCAAGGACTTTCCCTGCCCGGGAGCGCCCCACATGCGTGGTGCCGCCCCCTGCGCCGGCCGAGGTGTAGCTGGCAAACGGCAGAGACGGAGCAGGCCGACCACCGGCTGGGCCACCAGCTGGCCCAGGCCAAGGGAGGTAAGGCACCCGCCAGAAAAGGGGGGAAAAATGGCGGACAGCCTTGCTTGGCGACCCCCGTGAAATGGTCGATCGACCCCAAATGGGGTCACGACCCATAGGTTGAGAACCGCTGGTTTAACAAGAAAAGAATGCAGATCTCCTTGTCCTTGTAGAGGGTTATTTCTTCCTTCCTCCTTCTCCTCTTTCTACCTTGAATGCTGTTTCGCATGGCTTCTGGAAGACCCTGCATGCACCTTCCTTTCCCACAACCCAACTCAACCCTGGAGAATTTAGGACAAAGGCTCCTTGGATCAAGCTCAACCTTAGGAGTTAGTCCACCTAGAGTTTTTCGAGTAAGATAGAAGTGCTTTACCACAGGGCTTTCCAAACTTAGCAACTTTAAGACTTCAACTCCCATAATTCAGCCAGCCAGCATGTGGACTTCAACTCCCAGAATTGGCTGGCTGGGAATCCTGGGAGTTGAAGTCCACAAGTCTCAAAATGGCCACGTTTTAGAGATCCCTGCTTTACGCTTTTTTCTGGGAATTTTTTCCCCAATTGTCAGTCTAGTCTATGGCCTTGAGGGCTCTTTGAGTCTCTCATCCAAATTCTGTAATTTGCGTAAATTTGAGGGAACAGCAGTTGAAGTCCACACATAATAGAGTTGCCAAATTTGAAAAGTACCCCCCCACACACACAGATTTACATAATCTCCAGGCTGCAGCCTTAGGATGCCAGCTTTGTCGGTTGTTTAAATGCTTCTTGAACTGCCAGGGGATGTTTTGGGAGGGTTTGCTTTTGTATACCAGATTGAAGCAACTTTGTAAAGCTAAAAAACAATATGCAAATGGATAAATGACTCAGAATGGAGCTTTGTGGGAAAGCATGAAGACAGGCATTTGTATCCAGAATTTGGCTTGGACAAAGATACCCTCAACGCCCCCCCCCCCCCCCAATGCAGCCCTGCTTTTAGTTTGCTCACTGCTTCTGTGTGGCTGTCGCAACCCCCCTATAGAGATGGGGCTTACATCAGCCCTCAGCCGCACATTGCAGGGGGAAGTCCCCCCTTTCTTTTCCTGAACAGATGCAAGGTCACGTGAGGATACTGCAGAGTTGCTGAACTGCTTTTCCTTCCCAGAAAGAGAATTATTATTAATTTTTTTTCCTGTCTGCCTGCATGCCAGAACTTACACTCCAGTAGACAGTTTGTCTTCCACTGGAGACGAATTCTCTGCTGCACATGCAAATCCAATTTAGAGGAGGGACGTTGTGCAATTTAGCTCGTCTCCCTTTTTTCCCCTCTTAAAATTGGTCTGTTGGAGAAGCCACCCATAGAATAGCGCAAGCGGTTTAAACCTTTGGAAGTAGTTTTCAAGGAGACCCGATCCCAGAAAACTCGTGTAGAGTCTGTTGGCAGAATAACGGATCTGCAGGTGACTCTTTAGGTTCAAAGTTGCAGGAGAAGAATTGTCTAACTCACTTTGCATCTTGAGCGGGACGTAAAGGTAATCCAATTGACTCCAGCCCTATGAAAGGTTACAGGCTTGCTTACTTGGCTACAGGGATTTGGCTACAGGGCCAGGCTTGCTCTCCCATCACCCCGTTCGGTTCTCCTCTCTGGTATGGGAAAAGACGCAGCCAGAGGGGAAGGTGTTCCTAGCCATACAGGGAGTTGCCTGAAGCACTACATGGAACGCCGAAGTGTGGTTTAGCTGGTGCCAATCTTGCAAATGAGGAAAAGCCTTGGCATTTTGTCTGTGGAGCTTCTCAGTCATCCAGGTCATGGTTGTCCCAAAGGTGTTTTTTCCCCAAAAGGCAACTGGACTTTCTCGGAGTTTTTTTCCTTGAAAACATTTCGCTTCTCGTCCAAGAAGCTTCTTCAGTTCTATCTTCCATTCCTCTCCAGTCGAAACTGAAGAAGTTTCTTGGATGAGAAGCGAAACGTTTTCAAGGAAAAAAAAAAACTAAGGAAGTCCAGTTGCCTTTTGGGGTGGGGGGAAGCACCTTTGGGACCTTTGCCTCTTCGTCCCCCCTCCAAATCTTGGGGCTTTCCCAGGGATGTTTTTCATCGCTGCCAGGTAGAAAAAAAACAGGCTCTTGAAAGCCTCAAAGCCCGGCTCATTTTATGCTCCACAAGGTCACAGTGGGATTGTTCTGAGTTTCTCTCTGCACTGTCTCCCCTTCCCCGTTTCCCCCCTTCCTTCCCTGCCCCCAAGGCCAGGTCGCATTTCTTCCCAGCTGAGTCTCAAAAGTTGCCTTGGCACGCCAGGACCACGAGACAAGCCGGGTTGTCGCCTGCATTGATTTAGCAAACCCAGCCGAGGTGGCGTAAACCGCTGGCACTGGTTGCCCTGGGCAGTGGCAAAAGGGGAATCTGCCTCTTGGGGCCCAGGACTGGGGCAGCAGTGGGGAAGACAAGCCCCCCCCTCTCTCTCTTGGGCAAAGACCAGGAGCTCGTGTGCTGGGTGAGGCAGCCCCACCTTATCCGTGGGAATCCAGTCCAGGCAGCAGCAGTCACAGTGCCAGGGGGCCTTTCCCAACCTTGTACAAGTCTTGCAGGCTTTCAAGCTGGCTGAAGAATTTGTGGTTAGCCCAGCAGGGACGGAGGCTTTTTGTACTTGTGGTCCTGGCCTCGGCAACGGGAATAATAAGGCCCCGTGGTGTCTGCCAGCCAGCCGGCTTTGCCTGCCACACCTTTTCTATAGGGAAGTGCGTGGGGAAATTAGTTTATTGCCCCATAAACAGAGAGAGCCCCATCTTGCATTTCCTGCCGTTACATGAATGGGGTGTGCTGTGCCATCTGGACAGCAGGGAGAAATGCTGGGGAAAAGGCAAGAAGTGCAACCCGAGCAGTGTCTGCCGATGGGACCAGGAAAGGATCTTCTTGACTTCTTGAGTGGCGGTGATGGACCAGCCCAGATGTTCTCCGTCACTATGGGTTCATCTCCCACCAGCCTCCACTTGTGGAGTGGTAGCCCCAATGTCTAAGGGGGCCTAGGTTGCTTATCCTGCTGTGTTTCCTTTCACACCAACAGCCTGGCAGGATGTGTTATTCTGAGGACATATATGCCCGTTTTGTCATATGTGCCAGTCATCTAGGAATCTGCTCTGATTTGCTCTTTGCTTTCCTGCCCCGCTTTGGCCTGTAGTCACTTCTGAAGGGAAGAGTGGCAGAGACACAACGAGAAGCTCTTGCAAGGTCAGCCCCACATTGTTTGGGGGGCTGTTCCCAGGTGGGAAATAGCTAATCTTGATACACTTCTCTCCCACTGATGATCTGCCTGTACTCAAATCTCTAATCTCAGTCCACACACTCTTCTTCATCTCTGGCTGAACATTGGCCATATGAGACCTGCTTAGCATCCATCGTGAAGGTATTTCTTCCAAGTCCCAATGTAGTTGCTTCCAAGTTGTTTCTTTATGGTTGTTCATCTACAGAGAGCCTCTTGCCAGACTACTATCTACTCTTTGTGAAGGGAGGGGCCATCTTCTCTCTCTCCCACCTACCAGACCTTCCAAGCTCTGCTGCCTCTTTGCCTCCTGGGACTCCAGACTACATTCCACCCCAGCTTCAGACCAAGCCTTTTAACCTTCCCTGGTTGTCTTTCACCTGGCAGGTTCGCTCAACTACTCTTGTGGCTCCCTCCCTCCACGCCGACGTCAATCATCTCCCTTAATAGCCTCTTTCTGTCGACTTGCACAGATGCGATCTAAAAATGAGTCTCCAGGGCATGAAATGGGGCAGCGGCACTATTTCTGTTCTCTTCCTCCTCTCCCTAAATGCCTCCATATTCTCATTAAAAGGGCATGTTGCCACTGGCTGCAGTTTTGGCCACTTAAGGGTTGCAAGCAGTACGGAGCTTGTCAAATCTGGCTTGGTTAATTTTAGAGAAGAGTTGAGTCAAAGAGGCAGTTGAGCCTGGCACCCTGGCAGGACCCTCCTGGCCCATTTAGGCACTGGTTGTGGAGTTCCCAGAGTGCTTCTGGGTATCTGGTTGAGTCTATTAGCGGAAGGCTGGGGACACCAAGCAGGCATATAAACAGAGAAGGCCATTTTGGACAAGAGGTATTGTCCACTAAGACCATGTCTTCTTCTGGGCTCATCAACTATGATGGGGCCAAAATAACTATAATGAGGACAGAATTTCTACACTTCAACAAGGGCTGGGAAACGTAATGGATGACTTCATGGCGCCTTGGATTGGGATTGTCATCTGTGATCTATAGAAGATTTGGTGGAGATGGCTCTGTGCTGCAGCTCTCAGTGACTAACTTGGCTCCATGCATCCCCCTAAACCATAGTTTGTCGGTCATGATCAACCAAAAGAACCTAGGTTGACACACAGGCTGAGCCGAAATCCAGGAAACTAAACCACATGGTGGTTTTGAACAATGTGTGAACCTGTCAAGTTCCCACAGTCATTTGATCTCGGAGATTGACAGCATTTTCTGTCAGGGTGACATGACACCCTCCCAGAACTCTCCTTGGCTTCTACTGGCACGTGGGCGCAAGAAGGGACAAGGCCCAGGATGGCTTTCGGGTCTCGGATAATGGAGCTCTTTGAAGAGGAGATGTTGGTTGCTCTTGAGCTGGCTGGCCAGCCTGGATCAGACAGTGCCAGACTGGTGGTGAATGGGAGAAAGCTCCTTTGATGGGGGTGGGTCCCCCTCCATTTCTTTCATCTTTCTGCCTGTCCATGAATTAATGGAATGTAGAGTTTTGAAAAGGACAAAGAGTTGAGCTCACTGTTGGTGCTGCAGACGCATGTGATGGACTCGCTGGAGAGGCAGGCAGCGGAGGGGTGGCCGGGTCAAATCTCCCTCCCCACTTGAGGGCTCCTTCCTTGGAGGAGGAGGGCCAGGCAGTAACCCTCCCCCCACCTAGGACAAGTGCATGGCCTTAAGATCAAAAGACATAAAATCCTGCTTCTGCCAAAGGCTGCTTGCAAGTAAAATAAACGCTGCAAGAATCTTCAAAAAACACCAGCTTCCCTTTCCCGTGTTTTCCTGGGCTGCTTCCGCTTTTTTTGATTTCACATATTGGGTGGGGGGCTGCTCCCAATGCACAGGCAGGCGAGAGGACTCCAAGGAAAACCTATTTTGGGTTTGCTTTGAGTCCCGTAGGGTGTGATGTTCAGAACCGGTTGGTGTCTTTTTCTGCAAGCAACCAGCGAGCAATTAGATGCTCATCATTTCTGCATGATTTCGTTTCAAATTGTGTCTTGGGCTGTATGCAATTTCAAAGGTCCAGTTACCTATTTTAAATCTTACTCTTAGCTGTGCGTATGAAAGCGGCAGTTCTAGGGCTTATGAGCAGGTAGTCTGTTGGAGAGAACAGATCCTAAGTGTCCTGCCCCCAGGGCCATTGTAACACATTTTGGCTCCCTTAGTTCTACACCCTCCACCTTCTCACCCCATTTGCAGCAGGGGAAAGGATCTTACCGCTGACTCACCTTCCTTCACTCCCACAGGTGATGTCCACAACCTCAGCCCTGAATATTCCTTTGATGGCACCAACACAAAGGTCGGCAACATTGTTCTGGCCTTGTACAGCGGCCTCTTTGCCTATGGAGGATGGTGAGTGTGGGGCAGGTGACGTTGCCCTTGGGTTTGCCCCTCTGTGTTCCATCAAGGACAAGGAGTCCCAGGGCGAGGAGAACTTGTGATCTTCAGATCTTGTGATCTGGGGAACCCTGTTGTTTTATGTGTGTGTGAGAGAAAGAGTTTTCCTAGGTTGCCACATTGTTCTCATTCTTCTACAAAGTCAGGAGGACTTCCCCCCCCCCCATCCCAACTCTGTATTGTAAACTTAAGAACCTCTTTCCTTTCTCCCCATCTTTCAAACTGCAGGAATTACTTGAATTTTGTCACAGAAGAGATGATTAACCCTTATAGGTAAGTGTCTCCAAAACCCGATTTTGCATTGCTTTCTCCGTACTGTTGGCGGGAAGACGGCCTCCGCAGACTTTCTGGCTGTTGTGACTGCAGAAGCAACCGGGAGAGCTGTAAACGTTCAGAGATGTTCCTAGCTCTGCTTGTGAAACGGCCTTTCCCGTCTCCTTTCAGAAACCTCCCCCTGGCCATCATCATTTCGTTGCCCATCGTCACCTTGGTCTACGTGCTGACCAACCTGGCTTACTTCACCACCTTGACCGTCAACGAGATGCTGGTGTCAGAAGCCGTTGCCGTGGTAAAGTGCAATAACAGACCTGCAGGAAGGGATGCTCAAGATCGCTTCTCTGGCTTTGCCATTTTCCCCTGTGGGCCATCTGAGCGCAGCCCGCTTCTTCCAGCGTCTTCCTTTTATTCATGTGAACCGTCCCTTCTTCCGGGTTTGGTGTTCATTGCCCATCCTCTCCAATAAGCCTATGAAATCTTTATCTATAATTCTCCCTCCCCCTGTGGGAAAACCCAGGGAGCCTCACGGTGGGGCAGAATTTGAACGCATTTTCAGGGTTCCATTTTCCCCTGTTGGGTGGCAGATCAAGTTTCGTTCGCTTTGCGTCCCCCCCCCCCCGCCATTCGCTTTGGCTTCCAGGAGTTTTCTAGGTGAAATGTTTGACCTCCAATCTTCCTCCCTATTTGCCGATAGGATTTTGGAAATTACCACCTGGGTGTCATGTCTTGGATTATCCCCGTGTTTGTGGGCTTGTCCTGCTTTGGCTCCGTCAATGGTTCCCTTTTCACTTCGTCCCGGTAAGTTTCTGCTATAGAATGAGCATAAAACCATCTCTCCGGAAATGGAAGCTGATCTTAATGCACATTTTGCCCTGCAGTGTAAAATTCTGGAAAACTTGCAATTGGATGGATGGATAGATAGACAGGCAGATATCTAATCCCCTCCTCACACCAAAGTATGCGAGTTGGATTGCAATACATACTCACATTTTACAAGTAAACTTATTTTGCGGCCCCTGATCTGCTGCTCTTTAAAAGAAGCATGAAGACCAAACTCTTCTCCAGGCCTTTGACGAGCAGTTGTGAGACCTCCCCCCTCCCCCTCCCCCCTCATTCTGTCCACCTTTGATCTTTCTTCCTTTTAATGCGTCTTGTTGTTATTTTGTCTGTTGAGAGCTGCCCAGAGTTGTCGGGAGCCGGGCAGCGTGGGCTAAGTAAATGAACAATAACCTTTCATCGGTGGCTCCTGCCTGCAGAACTGGTCTGACTAGCTCAGCTGCCCAGTCCAAGAAATTTGCCCCACCCATCCCCACCCCCTTGTTGACGGTCTTCCTAAACAAACCACATGAAGTAGGATTGGCCTGACTCCCCCCCCCCCCAACAAGCCTTGTAAGCGGCACAAGGCAACTTCCAACATCCCCCAAGAACCTTAAATTCCTCTGCCGAAAGAGTGTCAGTTAACATTTTAATTTAATCTCTTTTAGGCTTTTCTTCGTAGGTGCTCGGGAAGGCCACTTGCCTTCTGTCCTGTCCATGATCCACCCCCAGCTACTCACCCCCATGCCCTCCCTTGTCTTCACGGTAAGGATGCTCACACAAGGGTAGAGATTCCTTTGGGGGGGGTGGCAGTATGTGTGTGTGTTTGTGTCTGTGTGTATGGGGGGAAATCCCATCTCAGTGCTTTTGCATTAAAACTAGTTGTCCGATTTAGTAACTTCTGTAAGCATTTAGTCCTGAACAATAACTGCACACCTGCTGAGTTGAGTGGAGTTGTGTGAGTTTTGGAAGCCTGCAAGCTGGTGCTGTTTTCAGGGTGCAAAGGGTGCTCCAGAATTTCTGGTCCCTTGATGGGCGCAAGCAAACTGCACATCATATTTTGAATTCAACCATCTCATGTTCTCCTTGGTGCACATCAGTTCTCTGGGGGTCCACCTGTTCTCCACCTGAAGGCAGGACAAGAAGCAACGGATGGAAACTAATTAAAGGATTAGAATCAACCTAGAACTAAGGAGAAACTTCCTGACAGTGAGAACAATTAAATCAATGGAACGACTTGTCTCCAGAAGCTGTAGGTGTTCTATCACTGGAGGCTTTTAAGTACCATTCCACTTGTCTGGAATGGTACAGGGTTTCCTGCTTGAACGTTGGACTAGAAGACCTTCAAGGTCCTTTCCAACTCTGTTATTCCTGCCCTTCTATAGGGCTCTGGTGTTCGTCTTTCTGCTTTTGTGCCCCATTCTGAGCACAGAACCGCAGACCTCACTCCGATGGCCAATATCCACTGTTTGCAACAATCCCATCCCCACGTTTGCTGAGTCTCTGAGCACAAAGCGAGTGTTGGTTGAAGTGCGGGTTCTCTGAAGCAGTTTTCTCCCAGCTCCCACGTGGCACTGATTTCTCTCCTCGCCCCTTTCCCCCCCCCGACCACCTCTAGTGCGTCATGACTTTGCTCTACGCCTTCTCCAACGACATCTTCTCCGTGATCAACTTCTTCAGCTTCTTCAACTGGCTCTGTGTGGCCCTGGCCATCATCGGCATGATGTGGCTCCGTTACAAGAAACCGGAGCTGGAGAGGCCCATCAAGGTGAGCTTGGCCGATGTTGAAAAGGGAGGTTCTGCGACCATTTCTGCAAGTGACTGGCTTAAAGGGCCGTCAGGGGATCCAGCTTTTCAGTCCCGGAGCTGGTCCAAGTCTGAGGATCCGTGGGACCGGTTGCATCTCTAGACACAAGTCTGGTGGGTCTTTGGATTGAAGGGCTCTCGAGTTGTTCCCTTCCTGCTTCCAACGTTCTTGCCCTTCCTTGTCTTCTCACGTGCAGGTTAATATCTTGTTGCCCATTTTCTTCATCCTTGCGTGCAACTTCCTCATTGTCGTCTCCTTCTGGATGACCCCGAAAGAGTGTGCCATCGGCTTCGCCATCATCTTCAGCGGAGTCCCAGTTTACCTGATCGGGGTCTGGTGGAAAAACAAACCTAAGTGGCTTCTGCAAAGCATCTGTGAGTACAAGTTGTGTCAGTTTCCAGGAGCTGTTTTGGGTGGAAGAAGCGCACGCGGGACTGTCGTCCACAGGTCTTCTACGCAGCAGAGATGGAGTAGCCTTTCCACCGAGTTTGAGCCTCCCTTTTGGTGCCACCAGAGCATGAAAAATGGCCGGAGAAGGCTATGTTGGATCTTCAGCAACCACGTCTGGGCAGTGCTGCCCGACTTTTAGATATCTGGAAGCAGGGAGGAGAAAGGCAGGATGGGACATGATTGGGAGGGGCACCAGCCACTTCCCCTGGCCAAGCTGTGTGGGTGTCCACACCCTCGTGTCTCTGGAAAGGAGCAGCCGGGCGTGCTCGGACTCGGCCGAGCTGATGCCAAACTCAGTCTCCAGGGGTTAGGGCCATCTTGATGGTAACTGTGGGAACGGAAGCTGGGACAGGTTGAAGCTGGATTTTAGCATGTCCCCCGTGCTGAAACCGACCTCAGACTTAATTTTACTAATAAAAGAGAATAGTTGTAGCTCAGGGTTGACACGAGGAGTCCTTGGTGTTCTCTGAGCTTGCTTGTTTCCTTGCAGACATTTCATTACCCAACCGGGTAACATCATCAATGTTAGCAGCAATGATGTTACCTAAGTGAGTAGTGAAACATTTGCAAGAAAACAGCCAAGCTCAGAGAGCACCGAGGACCCCATAAACCCCATTTTTACAATTTTACACATTTGTGGATCCAGTAACTTCAGAGGGATCCATGTTTCTGTTGGGGACAGAGAGCCCCTAAAATTATCCAAGTGATTTTCTTGACTGTGGATGCTTCTGTCACCCATCAGTTTCTTGTTGTTCAAGGAATTAGCCACCCTTCTATTACTTTTATTATCCTGCAAAGTCCAGTTTGGCGGGAGAATAGGCTGGTGGATGAAATTATTCCAAGGGCCTGGATGAAAATGTTGCCAGGATTTTAATTGGAATCTTCTGGTCCTGGTGCTTTGAGTAATTTCCCAAACCCTTCCCCCCCCTTTTTTTGGTCTACCCACAAGGGACCAGTCGGTGTAGCCAAAACTAATTTTCTAGGAATTTACAATGAATCCCCACCCCACCCCACCCCACCCCACGATTGCTGGGTGCAGAAGTCCTCCTCAAGTTGTTGTTTGGCATATGACAAAAGGAAATGCTTAAACCCAAACAGGGACACTACTTGCACAATTCATTTGTTTAGAACAACTTTTAAAATTGTGTTCTGTAAACTGTCGTGGTTCCATCCTCTTTGTGGGGGTGGAGAACACCTGATAGAGGTGGTGTGATTTTTCTAGTGGCATAAAATCTTTGTGTTATGGGTGACCAATTTAGGCACGGCAGCGACGTCAAAAGTTCATTCTGGTCATGTAAACTTCCTCCATTTCGTTTCTCACCAACAGATTCCACCACAGTCCTGTTCCAGAAGCTGATGGAAGTGGTTCCTCAACAGTCTTAAGAAGGAGGCAAAACCATTGATCTTTAGTTTAAGCCAACGCACAACATTGTTTTTGAAACCTACGTATGTCTGATTCCTCCCTGGAAAAACGGAAACTGCAGAGACAGCCCAGAGACCTCTTGGGACCTCTGCCCACCTCTGGCCCTGCTGAGGCCTTCTCCAACTCAGATCATGGCAATTGAGAAGGTGCTGGAGGAAAAGATGATCCCAGGTGCAAATTTTAAAATTGGGAAGAGGAGGTCGCTTAGAAGAGAAGAGAGGCCTCCACCCAAATCGAGAAAAATGGGGAAGCCCACAAGGACGTTTTGTTTACATGCTCAACTAGGGACTTTATTTAGTTTCTCCACCAGCTGTCCCAACGTTGGCAGAAAAAGAGGAAAAAAATGCAGGCAGTGGATGAGGTCCAGCAACGTAGAGTGTTCCTCAAAAGTCGCCCGCCGACACCGAACACTCCTTGCCAATAAAGGGGGCTGAAGAAGACAGCAGACTTAACGGCTGAGCGGCCCCCACCTCAGCTCTTCTCATTCTCAGTGGACTCAGTGGCATGAGTATTTTTTTAAAATTGTTTAATTTTTTTTAGTGACATCGTTTTTTTAAGCTTCCTTCTCCTTAGGACTCCCACGTGACCATCTTGCGCCGATTTCTCGTAAGGGGTTTTGTATAGCTTTAATTGGCATCCTGACGAATTCCCCCGTTTGAGTCAGGTTGAAATTTCTAGACACTCCTCAAAGCATGATGGATTCATGCAACAGTCTCTAGAGCAAAACTTCTCAATTTGGGCCACTTCAAGCCGTATGAACTTCCTGACGGGGGAATTCGCAATTGAAGTCCATACGGCTTAAAGTGCCCCACGTTGAGAAAAACTGCTCTAAAGCAACTGAATTTGCCAGTTGGGGGAACACCTTGACGTTGGAAAGTTTCCTTACTTGCCAGCCTCATTTGAACTCTCGTTTTCTACCAGCATTCAGTGGTTCTACAAAACATGTTCCATTTTGGTTTTCTTGCTGTGCAGAATGCCGTTCATTACAGCCAATGTACATGTATTCTTAAGAAGGGGACTGGAAGTTACTATCCTGTGCAGTGGATGACATGGGAAGCTTAAGACGGGAGGCTACCAAGTGGGAACAAGCAGAACATCAGGGTTCTGTGTGTGTCTGCGTGTCGGTTTGTTTATGCACGTGTGTCTAGTTCTGTGGCACTTTTCTTGATGTGTAGCTATGCTCTAAAACATGCAGCTAGACTTTGGCCTAGCAAGCAAGAGGGTGGGCTTCTGAGTTTTAGGGCAAAGAATTGAAACCAGCACTCGTGCGATTGGTTGTCTATTATGGCTCTCTCATGGGACCACATTGCTTAGAATTGGGTGGGATGCTTTGATTCATGGGATCTGTTTTTCCTTCTCTTACATTCTTGGGGAATGTCTGGCCTGGAAAATTTGGTTGCTCTGGAGCAAGGCAACCAAACTTGGCAACTTTAAAACCTGTGGAATTCAACTCTCGGAATGTCTGGCCTCCCAGATGTGTGGACTTCAATTCCCAGAATTCCCCAGCCAGCTACTGAAGTTGATGAGTTGAAGCCCACACATCTGGGAGGCCAGACATTCTGGCAGCTGAAGTCCACAAGTCTTAAAAGTAGCCAAGTTTGGACACCCCTGATTTAGGCTTGAGCCGTGAAAGCTTTCAGCCAGCATGAGAGCAGGAACCCAGATGGACAGCACCTCCATGGAATAAAACATATACATCCAAACTTTCTATTGTAAGACAGGATGCAAGAAGTGGTTTTCCTTTGTTCTGCTTGCAAGATGCTAACCTTTGCAAGGTTTATGTGCATTGTTTTCTTCATGGAGTTGTGTACTTTGTGGTTATCTAAACATGGAAACAGGCAAAATAATTTGGCTGAAGTCGAGTGGGGAGAATAGTCGAGGGTAGCCCATCTGTCAGTTGTGATGCCAACAAATGCGGAATCTAAAAACCCAGACGCCACAGTGTTGAACATCAGGGTGGGGGCATTTTTAACTCTGTCTGCCAGGGTTTCTAGAGTCCTCTGTGCAGCTGTTCCAAATACACTTCCCCTCTGTTGTCTGTTGCAAATCGATTTTTCTGCCTTTATTTCTTAATAGTAAGGAAATGGGCTGCCACTGTATTTACAATTTCCAAATAGCATGGCAGTTCAGAAATGCTGAAGTCATTGTGGTGGTCCTATTTAGGGACAATTCCACCATTCTACAGCACATCTGGTGTTAAGTGCTGTTTTGTCCTGGGGACAGTATGGCCCCCAGATCTCCTGTCCTCCACATGTGTTGCATTACAACACCCATGGTCCCCTGCCCACCCAATTCACACTTTTTACAATGAGCCAAGTAGCTGTTTCCCATCCAAATTGTGCACCTGCTGTGGGCACACACACACACACACACACACACACGGCTTTGAACATTATTCCACCCACCAATTTAGTATGCTAGGCGTTTTTTTCAGAAGGAAAAAAAATGTCCAGAGGGGCAGAAATGGGGAGTAGAGCCCCACAGGTGAGAACTGCAAAGAACGGTTGCAGTTCAGAGCTTTCCAACTCACCTGCCCTTCTGCCTCCCCCCAGCTCATTTCCATTGCTTTCCACTCAAGAATATTTGGCATTCTCTAGGTATTTACACTGAAAGTTTTGTGGAGCCTTGCAGAATTGCTTTTGTCTTTCCCTCACCCCGTTCCTTTTGTTCTTAGCTGTGCCTTATTGTTTTTGGACTTCTGCAAAGTTTTGGCTTCAGTTGCGCTCACCGTTAGGTCAAACCGAAACCAGCCGGCCAAACTGAGAACGGCTTTGCTTCGTTGTGCATTGCCCAGGTGTCCTTCATCACGCTTTTCCTTTGAGCCGCGTGGTCCAGTTCTGCACCCCTTTTATCCACTTTGTGCGTCTGCCTGGTTGACTTTCTAGTTGCTTGATGTGAAGCGGCTAAGGGTGTAATTCAACGGGAGCCCAGCTAAGTTCATTAGCGTTGGGCCCAAAATCCATCACTGGTTGGGCTCCAGTGACCGAGGAGAAAGCTCCCAGCTGGTTCCTGAACAAAGGTGATGTTTCTTCAACTAGAGCAGAGGCGTCCAAGCTTGGCAACTATAACACCTGTGGGTATTGGCTGGCTGGAGAATTCTGGGAGTTGAAGTCCACAAGTCTTAAAAAGTTGCCAAGCTTGGACACCCCTAAACTAGAGTGGAACGGCCATCTAGGTAACCTGGCATAGTCCTTCGGGACCTCTTAAGAATTGTCTTCTTGATGGACCCAGAAAGACTACAAGCCTGGTAGCCCTTTTCAAGCTCAAAGACTTACGTGCTCGTGCAGATGGCTGGTCATGCTCCAAATAATTCTGCGGAGCAGGAAGCAAGCAGTGGTGCTTTTTGGAAGAATGCAAAAATCCAGGATTTGTGGCATTCCAGACCCAGGTTTTCTAAGCCATTTGCTTGAAACGTTCGTGCAGGTGTCCCTCTTCTTAGGTTGCGCCTCTGTCCTTAATCAGTTTTCTTTTTAATCCCCTGGAAGCAGATTAATTGCACAACGTTTGTACAGGCAACAGGGTTGTTATCTTTATAACTACTGAGTGAAATCTGACTCCTTAGAAATCTATATTTTCTTTTAATATAGTTTTTTTTTATAAAATAAAAAGAAATAACAAAGTCTTTAAGCTAAGGAAAAGAACATAATTTTAAAAAACTTTTTGTTACATTTGGAAAATAAATATTTTTACTAATTTAATTATTGTGCTATATTTTAAATGAGTATCAGTATAGAAAGTGCAGCTCTGTTATCTAATAATATTTGCATTTGTCCATACGGAGTTGATCCAAGATTTGTGTTGCTTTTTTATGAGTTCTGTAGTAAAAAGAGTCAATTCTGCCTTGTTAAAAGATGTGTGATATAGTCCAGTCTGTCTTTTTTACTGTGTCCCCCCCCTTCTTTTCCGGATTTGTTATTGTTCATTATAAACCATGGCTATTCCATTTTAAATATTCTGGTTTTTATTTGAACGAGGTTTTCTGAATTTCAAGCTTGCTGTTCTGAGCTGAGCATTTCTGGGTTCGCTCGTTCAGTGTGGATCTTGGCAAGGTATTCTCCCAGGGAACATCCATTTCTGATTCTTTACCAGTCCGAAAAGAACGAAAATCGGGATTATTTAGGTAGCTCTGTATGGGAGAGAAAAGGCTGCGTGCTGTGGGGATTCTGGGGGATTCTGGGAGTTGAAGTCCACAGGTCTTAAAATTGCCAAGGTTAGACACCCCTGGAATAAGCCCTATTTTGCCAGGGATGCATAGTGCCACAGCACAGGTTTGCAAACCAGAATCTCCAGCTGTGTACAATTTTTGAATTTGAAAAATAGTTGAAAGATGCATTAATCAGCTCTGCAATGCCAGGAAAACAACAACAAAGCGGTCTCAGCATGTGTGAATGCAGTCACTAGTTCAGTGTTTCTCAACTTTGACCATTTTAAGGCATGTGGACTTCAACTCCCAGAATTCCACAGCCAGCAATGCTGGCTGTGGAATTCTGGGAGTTGAAGTCCACATGCCTTAAAATGGTCAAGGTTGAGAAACACTGCGACTAGTTTTTTGCTTACACAGGTACTGCAGAAACAGAAGTTAAGTTTCCTTTCCCCAGGATAATTACAGTGTTGGGAAAGAATTTTTACCTGCAAATGGGAAAAGGCAGACGTACAGATTTCAAAGCGGGGAGCGCTTAGGGTGCTTCAGAAATTGTGCATTGGTTTCTAGCAAGCTCAGCTTGTTTTTACGGCCCTGGAAATCCAAAAGGCTTTTTTCCAAACCGTAATCCAAACATCGGAGCCGCTGATGGGAAGAATCTGCTGATAGGGTACAATTCCTGGCTGACAAATATCCGAGGGAGGTTTTCTTTGCTAGAACTGTATCGGGGCACATCTGACTCCAAAATGCCCACCTCAAAAGTGGCTGGCTGTGAAGACCTTGCTCTAATGTCTAGGTCTTTTTCAACAACCTCCAGCATCCAGCACCAAAGGGACACAAGGAGAAAAGGACAAGAAAACGGGAACTTGGTGCAACATTGCCACTCACAGCTTTGGAAAATCCCCGCAGGTGGCATTTTGTGGGCAAACTCCTTCTTTAATTGTAGTAGAGCCAGTCCTTGATGGTGCCGCTTGCTTTATTTTTTACTAAAATAATAATCCTGCATCCATCCATTAAACCAGTGTTTCTCAACCTTGACAATTTTAAGGCATGTGGACTTCAACTCCCAGAATTCCACAGCCAGCAATGCTGGCTGTGGAATTCTGGGAGTTGAAGTCCACATGCCTTAAAATTGTCAAGGTTGAGAAATACTGCATTAAACAGAGGAAGGAAAAGATAAGACTGGGATCCTCCCGGTAAGCTTTCTAAATCAAATTAACTTTGCTGTGGATATACCTATCAATTTGCAAAATCCAGGATTCAGCTCATAATCATCTTTCTTAAGCACCACCTGCCTGAGACAAATTGCTATCCCTTTTTTTCCAGCTTCCCAGGTAAGTTCCAATCAGAAGAGAAACACAGCAGGAGGAGGAGGACTGGAGAAGAACCAACGATGGTCCTTACAGCTCCTGCTACGTGTGCAGCTCAGACTCCCTTCTCATTCCCCCCCCCCACCCAGATGATTATCTTATCCTTGTTTTAGCACACCTGTTCTTGGCTGAGACACGTCCATGCTTTGAAGACATTGTTTGGGTTTGTTTAGCTTGACCCTGTTGGGTGTTGTGCTCTCCACAAAGCACTTAATAATTGAGTCCAGTGCAGTCACAAAAGGGTCCTTTCTCCGGGAGCCAAGGAAAATACAAATGTCAAAGATAAAAGCTGCTGAGCACGTTATAAATATCCCATCTACAGGAAAGCAGATCAAGATATGGGCCAAGCAGAGCCTGCTCTTGAAAGCACTTCCTCCTCCCCCAATCTGGTTACAGAGTTGTTTGCACACCATTCCCAGCACCCACCCACCTTCCATAAGTAATATCGCAAATATGCATGACTCCTGTTGAAAATAGACACCTTGGGCTGCCTGTGCACCATTGCACTTCTTTTCTTAGGAATTGTATTTGTTATTTCTGGGAATTGCACCCCACCAGATTCTTATCCTTATTCCAGGAATCTTTTTAGTTGTTTAATAACTGGGTGCGCTGTGTTTTGTGTCACCGCTGAAGCATCTTCTCCAAAATCTGCAATTCCCGTCGCCCTTGGCATAAAAATTTAGCCCTCCCCACCCACCCACACAACCCTGACAGCTGATCCATTACAAGTTCAGGCTGGGAAGTGCAGGAAGCAAGACTGTGCCGGGGCCGGCTGCCAGAGGCACGGCGTGGGCCACTGAGAGGTGCTCAGACATGGTTTTGGCTGTAGCGTTGCACCATAAACCCCCCTCAGCACATCAATGTTGTAATCCCTGCTGTAGAGAAAGGTAGCGTGTCAGGAAGACACAACCTGCAAAAAGAAGATCTACAGGTAGGGTGAGATCTTGAGGAAAGGCCAAGGTCCTTGCTGGGGGCAGGCTTTGAAAATGATGGTGGACAAAACCCTGTGAGAACCATCTGCTGCTTCTAATTCTTGACTCTTCCCCCTCCACCCAGGTCCCTTTCTTCCCCCCCCCCCCGCATCTTTTCCCTTGCTGGTCTCTATCAACCCAGAAATCTGTTTGACAGCCACATCCTGCACTCATTGTTCCCAGGTAAGCTGCAGGCAGAGTGAGCAAACCTAGGTGGGGAGGTGCACTTGAATGGCCAATTCCTCCTCCCGTGAAGTGGGCAATATTTCTGCGGCTTCTTTTGTGTCCCTATGGCACAGCTGAGCCACCAGTTTAATTCCAATGGACACGTGGAAGAAAATGGACAGAAACTAAGAGGCCTCTGTGTGGATGCAAAAATCGGACAACGCCTCTGTTTTCCATCTGTCCACAAAGGGATTACAGGCTAAGGGCAGCCCGTGTCCAAAGATTGCAGAAGTAGAGGAGTGGACTTATCTGTGGACAAGACAGGCTGTAAGCAGGGGTCCCCAACTCCAGGTCCGTGGACCGGCACTGAGCTGCAGCCTGCCAGAAACCAGGCCATGCAAACAAGCAAAGTCCCATCTGTGGGATGCAGGCAGTGTGCGAAACCAGGCTCCCTCCAATAGGTGGGAAAAAACGTTCTCCACGGAACCTGTCCCTGGGACCCAAAAGGTTGGGGGTGACTGCTGTAGATGTTCCTCCTCCAACCACTGTTGTGCCAAAAGAACATCAAAGAGGCTTTATTTCACTTCAGCAGCAACTGGGTGGTCTTCTAAGATGCTGTGTCACTCAAGGGGGAATCCAGAACTTTAAACACACACTGTTGGGTATTGAGGGGCTTTCAAAGTGGTTAATTTGTTGTTAAAAACAAAAACACCCTCTGAAAACAAGCCCGTGTAGTAACCACCCCAAGACTCAGCTGTCTCCAGGAAAATCCTTTCAACTTTCCACAATCAGCACGTTCCCCAGAGATGTGAGCTTGACTCTCATAATCCCCAGCTACAAATTCTGGGAGTTGGAATCCCAGGCTGCATTGGGCTTAGGATGGCTGGTCTTCTGCCTTCTCCTGTGCTGTGATTTTTCTGCCTTGTGGACAAGTGGTGAAAGTGATGACTAATTTCTACTGTAGGAACAGTCTTTATACGATGCTGCTTTTTTACTAATGCAACCTCGCTTTTTATTTATTTGTATTCATATAATTTTGGGAGGTTCAAAAAGCAATGCACAATAATGAATGTGTGCACAGGAGCATAAGGAAGCTACAAAGCCATGCAATTTCACAGCCTGATGAGCTCCTTTGGACTGGTTGAGGATGGCTGGTAGGACAATGAAGCCCTTTTTGCAGAGATTTCACTAGCCCAGCAATTTCTCTCCTGCTTTTTAAAAACAGGAAAGATGACTGAAGAGACAGGGAATCCAACACAGAGGTTGCTTGAGAAAATAATCGAGAAAAGAATATTCAGGTAATGATCCTCCGAATGACAAGTGTGAGCATTGACAGAAGGACATTCCTTATGGATTACTTATTACGTAAGTATTAATGCATTGGAGATGTTTAAATAGAGACTGGACCTCTATTGGCCCAGAATGATTTTGGGTCCCCTGCCTCAGCAGAGAGTTGGACTAGTCCAGTGTTTCTCAACCTTGGCCACTTGAAGAGGTATGGACTTCAACTCCCAGAATTCCCCAGCCAGTTGAAGTCCATACCTCTTCAAGTGGCCAAGGTGGAGAAACACTGGACTAGGAGATCTCCAAGGTCCCTTCCAACGCTTGCTATTCTGTATTCTGTCCTTGTTAGATCTATTCAGTTTTTTCCTCCAAGACTTTAAGAAAGAGAGTTCCCTTCATCTTATCCACACAGCAACCCCATTTGTGAGGGAGGAGGAACTAAAGAAGAGACAGGGAGACCCATTTCGAATACATTTCTGCAGCGGAGATGGATTTGAATCTGGCTCACCCCAGTCCGGGTCCTCAACTGCTCTATCACAGTGACCTTCCACTGAGAGATGGACGGGCAGCAGGGAAGAGGCTGGGGACTCTGCCTTAATGCCCAGTTCTCGGGGCAAGCTTAGGGTGTGGTGCAGAATGGGTTGTGGGTCTTTCGTTGTACAGTTTGGGGCTTTGTGGTCTTTCTCTCTCAAAGTTCACTTAGATTCCCCCAGAGCATTTGAAAGGGACTCATCCTGTCCCTGGCTGCCTTTCTGATTTGAACCTGGGGGAGGCAGGGAAGTAGCCCTTCCTACCACCTGCCAGGACAAAGCAAATGGAAACAACTCCTAAGGTTCCCCCAGAATAAGTTAGAAAACCAGAATCCTCGTATCCAGGGGGAAGAAAATACACAAGGAACCTAATTATATCACAGTAGACATTCGGGAGACCGTTTGAGAGGCGTTAACCCAGGAAGAAGCAGTGAACTTTTGCTACATGGAGATGAAGGTGAGGGTTGAGGGCAGAAAGGGCTCAGGAACAGCTCTTGGCCAGCTCCCCAGTGGGCTCAGGCCCATCCTTCAGCCCATAGAAATGCAGATCAGCCGCCCTGGCATGATGCAACTTTTCGGCTGCCCTTGCACCTTCCTCTCAACGATGGGATGGGCAGCCAGAGCTTCTGGACCAGGCTGCCAGGTTGCCCCTTATGAAGCTGCCCATCCTCTGCATAAGACTGACACCTGGTGGCAAATAGCAGGCCCTGCAGCTGCAGCATCTCACCACATCGCAGCCAAAGTTGCATCAGCTGCATGCTTGCAAAAGGCGAGACTCCTGCAGCTATGGGGGTGGTGGTGTTCCTTTAATTCTGCCCACAGCCACTGTTGGGAGTTTTTTTCTTCTTTCCTGGCATCTGCATTTGGGTTTCACCCCAAAACCCAAAACCTTCCTGCATTTTTTTTTTAAACTAAAGGGTAGAATTTATTTAATTACTGGATCTTGTATTGGAGGGTTCCAACCAGCACGAAGGTTAGGTAAAGGAGGTTTCTGAATGGCCGTGTGGAGTGAGTGGGTGGGTGGGTGGGTGGGTGAGTGGCTTTTTCCAAAGGAGCTTGGTGCTCTCTGAAGCTGGTTGTTTTCTTGCAGATGTTCCATTAAACAAACTAGGTGACATCATCTGTGCCAGAGATGATGACTTTTGGCACTGACTTTTGGGTCATGAAACATCTGCAAGAAAACTACCAAGCTGAGAGAGCACCAAGGACACCTCATTTTAGCCCTGAGCTACACAGATTCTCCTTTATTGACACCTCCTCCTCTCCGTAAACCCCACTTCCTACTAGCACTAATGATGTTCCCTAGTTGGATAGTGAAATGTCTGCAAGAAAAGCATCAAGTTCGGAGAGCACCAAGGACTCCATAGACCTCCTCCTCCTTTCTGCAAACCCCACTCCCTACTAGCACTGTTCCCTACTTGGGGAGTGAAACGTCTGTCTGCAAGAAAAGCGCCCAGAGAGCTCCAAAGACCCCCCCCCCCGCCTCATTTCAACCCCGAGCTACACCTACCGGTAATTCTCCTTTACTGCTTTTTGCAAAAGCTTTTTTGCAAGGCTTCCTCCCGGCCTTGCAAAGCAGCCCTCCCTCCCGCAGAGGGCAGCCCTCTCGCAAGCCGGGCTTCTCCTCCTGGTCCTTTTCGCTGGCAGGAAACGTCCCGGGAAGAGGCGAGGCCCGCGGGAGCGACCCTGCCGCTTGCAAAGGCAGCTCGCAGGGATGGGCAAGAAGAGCAAGAAGGAGCGGAAGGCCAAGGGGGCCGAGAAGACGGCCGCCAAGATGGAGAAGAAAGTCTCCAAGCAGACCAAGAAAGAGGAGGTGATCACAGGGCTGCAGGAGCTTTGGCAGCTGCAGGGCAGGCAGGCATTCAACAGGTCCAGACCCCCCCCCTTTCTGAGTCTCTCTCTCTCTCCCTGCCCACCCTTCCCCCTTCCTCTGTGCAATCCAAGGTGGAGGAATGGGCTTCGTGCAAGAGAAGGGGAGGAGGAGGAGGGAGTTAGTGGCACAGTAGATTAGTGCGGGGGTCCTCAAGCTTGGCAACTTTAAGACTTGTGGACTTCAACTCCCAGAATTCCTCAGCCAGTTTTGCTTTGCTGGCTGAGGAATTCTGGGAGTTGAGGTCCACAAGTTTTAAAGTTGCCAAGCTTGAGGACCCCTGGATTAGTGCAAGACAAAGTGCAACAGGGACGGGAAAAACAGCCCCATCCCCATTTTTTTGGGCTGGGGGGAAAAAAAAGAAAAAAATGAATTTATGGGTTTGTCTGTTAGAAAGGGCAGCTCATGGAAGAAATTAAGATCTGACTTTAGAGAGAGAGAGAGAGAGAGAGAGAGAGTAAAATATCACATTTATAACCACCTTTAAGAAGATTGGATGGGGCTTCTTTAGAATATTTTCTTTCCCCCCCCTTAATTTCTTCTCCCACTAGGCACCCCTTTTCTTTATCTGCTGTTTCTTTTCCAATATCTGTTTTCATCTTGTTACAAAATCTCTTCCACAAAAATTATACACACACACACACACACACACACAAACATACCTTTTCATGTATGCACGAAAGAGTGTGCAGCAATGATCCCCGTGGAGGAGATGTCTCCCTTTTTGATCACAAAACAGAGCCGTTTCTTGACTTGCAGGAGGATCTGGAGGCGCTGATTGCCCAGTTCCAGTCTCTGGATGCCGCCAAGACGCAGGTGCTGGAGACCCCCTGCGCCCCTCCCTCCCCAAGGTGAGAGTGGAAACGTGATGGATATTTGGGCAGTTGGGAAACTTTGGCCTCAGAATGTTTTGGGCACCCCTTTAATCTCCAGTGAAAAGCTGCTAGTCCTCAAGAACTCTGTCCCCCCAAATCCTGTACTTGATTTGCTTAGCTTTTTTCCTCTTGGTCCCCAGACTCAACGCCTCTCTCTCCGCTCACCCCGAGAAAGACGAGCTCATCCTGTTTGGAGGTGAATATTTCAATGGCCAAAAAGTAAAGTATTTCTTTTTCTTTCTCTCTCTCTCCTCCCTTCTCTTGCCCAAACTTCCCTTTGAAATCTTCCAGAAATTTCATGTTGAATTTTTGACTATTTTAAAGCAGTGGTTCTCAGCCTGTGGGTCGCGACCCCATTTGGGGTCGAACGACCATTTCACGGGGGTCGCCAAACAACGCAGTCCACCATTTTCCCCCCTTTTCCTTAGCTGTGCTTCTCCCTCTTATTCTATTGGCTTTCGAAAGCCAATAGAATAGACTCTCTTGAACAGAGTCTAATTCTATTGGCTTTCAAAAGCCAATAGGAATTGTCCAGGCTGTCTCTGCCCTGCTGAGCCCGCCGAAAGCCCCAGTTTGCAAACGGTGCTGCAAGGCGAACTTTCTGGAAAGCTTCCCTCCCTGCTGAGCAACTAAAAATTAAGTAAAAGAGGGCTGGGGATGGGAGGTGGGAGGCCGGTGGGCGCAGGGAGGGTTGCTGGCGTATGTGGGGCCCGGCGGGTGCTTTACCTGCCTTGGGCTGGGCCAGCTGGTGGCCCAGCCGGTGGTCGCCCTGCACCGTCACTGCCGCAGCTGGTCAGGAGTGCCTGGGCCTGCCTGCCGCCGCCCCAAACGGGCGGCAGCCAAGGTAAGGCTAGTGGGGCAGCGGCGGGCGCAGGGAGGGTTGTTGGCGCGCGTGGGGCCTGGCGGGTGCCTTACCTGCTTTGGGCTAGGCCAGCTGGTGGCCCAGCCGGTGGTCGCCCTGCGCCGTCGCTGCCACGGCCTCCCGGGAGCGCCTGGGCCTGCCTGCCGCCGCCCCTTGCCAGCTATGCCTCGGCCGGCGCAGGGGGCGGCACCACGCATGCCACGGCGCTCCCGGGCAGGGAAATACAGGTAGTCCTCGACTTACGACTAGGGTCGCAGCTGTAAAAAGGTTGAGAACCACTGTTTTAAAGGAATTGCAGAGCCTTATTCCCAGCACTGATCAATACAGGTGGCTCTCGAGGTATAACCACGGTTGGTCCCAAAATTTCTGTGAAATAGTGGTTAAGTGAGTTTTCTAATATTTTAAGACTTTTCTTGCCATGGCTGTTCAGTGAATCATTGCAGCTGGTAAGTTAGTAACACGGTTGTTAAGTGAATCTGACTTTGCTTGTCGGAAGGTCACAAAAGGGGTCATGTGATCTGAGGATCATAAATGTGAGTCAGTTGCTAAGCACCCATCACGTAACTGTGGGGATGCTGCAACGGTTGTGTGACAAACTCTCACGTCACTTTTTCTAGTGCCTTTGTAACTTTGGTCACTAAATAAACGGTTGTTAAGTCGAGGACTGCCTGTATCCTGCCTTTCACCAGCAGTCATAAGAGTTGGGTGTCTTTAGATGTGCTGGATCCCGTTCCAAGGGTCAAGAATTATTCACGTTAGTCACAGATAGACGAGGTCTCAAAGTGGGATAGTGGGAACTGAGTTTCCCCATCCTTTTTCTCTTGTCTTTCTGCATTTAACCCAGGAAAAATGGATCAGGATTCCAAGCTAAAAACTTCTCTTATTGTACAGCTTTGTTTGCCATCCAAAGTCCTTCTGAGCCATCCTAGACATAGAAAGGATATTGTAAGGCTCCAGAAGAAAGTGGAGGAGGGGAGCAAAGTCGAGGGTGGGTTGCTTGGTTGAGGAAGCTCTGGGCTTTATCCGGGGGGGGGGGGGAATAGAACAATGGAGGAAGGGGCTTTACTAAAATCTGTTGACTGAATGGATTTCTCATTAGTAGCCCTTCATTTTTATCTTCTAATTTTATGGGGTTTGATTCTGTCAGTCACCTTGAGGGGCTTCTCTGAGCAGGAAAAAAAGAGATATAAATAATAACAATAATAAGAAGAAGAACAACAACATTGGAAAGGACCTTGGAGGTCATCTAGTCCAACCCCCTGCTCAGGCAGGAAACGCTATACCATTTCAGACAAATTCAAAGCAATAAATGCAAATCACGCATGTTCTGTTTCTCCTGGCAATTGATTTCATGGTCAAGTCATGGAAGTTCATTTGACAGGCAATTTAAGGCATATCTGGGAGAACTTCATCCCATAGCATGGAACTAATTTATAGAACTGGTCGCTTTAAACCAGGGTCTCCAAACTTGGCCACTTTAAGGCTTGTGGACTTCAATTCCTGGCTGGCTGAGGGATTCTGGGAGTTGAAGTCCACAGTTCTTAAAGTGGCCAGCCAAGATGGGAGACTGATGAATCTGAATGGCCTCAAGAGGGAGCTTCCGCCACCTTTCTTCTCTCCTCCTGCTCCAGACACCCAATATTCCTGCGGAAGGAAGAGTAGAAAAAGGGCTGATGGTCCCATCTTGCTCTGACTTTCAGCAGGAGTGGAGCTCTACCTGGAGCCCCTCAGTTGTTTTCCGGCTGAATTCTTGGCCTTGAAACGGCCACCTTTCTCCTCTGAAGTAGGGGAGGATCACGGTCCGAATCAGAAGCAGCTTGCAGAATCTGCAATTGCTTTACTAAAATAAGGGTCCGCTTAGGGCTGATTTGGATGCTGAAGCAGCCAGTGCCGCCCAAGGACTTCAGTGAATTTCCAGAGTTGCCAAAGATAGCAAATGCTGGCTGGGCGGTCGCTTTGAGATCTCAAGATGTGCACTAAAACGGGCTTTTCCTGGAAGATTTCCATGTCTAGCAAAGCCCTCCTCCTCCTTTGATCTCTCCCTTAGAACATCCTCTACAACGAGCTCTTCGTTTACAACATCCGGAAGAACAGCTGGGCTAAAATTGATATTCCAAGTCCTCCGCCTCGGCGCTGTGCTCACCAGGTACGGGGCACGTGACGGTCTGCGATTAGGATTGCCCACCATGCTAAGCCAGGATGGGCCTTGCTTCGTAGTGGCACTGGTTTAGGCAGGAACATGCTTGACGTAGCTTCTTCTCCAGAAAAGGTGGTTCTGTAAATACATGTAGAGGCCACCAGTATGGGATGCAGCCTTCCTTCCTTCCCTCCCTCCCTTTTCCTTTCTTTCCTCCCTCCCTCCCATCCCTCTCTTTTTCTTCCTTCTTTCTTTCCTCCCCTCCCTCTTTTCCTTCCTTTCCTCCCTCCCTTTCCCTCCCTCCCTCCCTTTTCTTCCTTCCCTCCCTTTTCCTTCCTTTCCTCTCTCTTTTCTTCCTTTCCCTCCCTCCCTCTCTCCCTCTTCCTTCCTTCCTTCCTTCCTCCCTCCCTCCCTCCCTTTTCTTCCTTCCCTCCCTTTTCCTTCCTTTCCTCTCTCTTTTCTTCCTTTCCCTCCCTCCCTCTCTCCCTCTTCCTTCCTTCCTTCCTTCCTTCCTTCCTTCCTTCCTTCCTTCCTTCCTTCTTTCCTTCCTTCTTTCCTTCCTTCCTTCCTTCCCTCCCTCCCTCCCTTCCTCCCTTTTCCTTTCTTTCCTCCCTCCCTCCCTTTTCTTCCTTCCCTCCCTTTTCCTTCCTTTCCTCCCTTTTCTTCCTTTCCCTCCCTCCCTCTCTCCCTCTTCCTTCCTTCCCTCCCTCCCTCCCTCCCTTCCTCCCCTACCCACTTGTAACCTAGCTACCTACCATGAGCACAGTGGTTTGACACATAGTGGTCAGAATGATGCAGGGAAGATATCGGGCTTTGTGCCTGGAAAAGGACCCCAGCGTGGCCCTCTCTCTCTCTTCCTCCCTCCCTGCCAGGCGGTGGTGGTCGCTCAGAGTGGCGGACAACTTTGGCTGTTTGGTGGGGAATTTGCTTCTCCGGATGGGGAGCAGTTCTACCACTACAAAGACCTCTGGGTCTTGCATTTGGCCAGCAGGACCTGGGAGCAAGTCAAGTAAGTCTGGAGCTCGTGTGTGCCCCCCCCCGGGATGGCCGGGCCCCCAGATGCAGAATGGGGAACCCGGGGATCGGATGGGACGGCGTCCCTGCGGCCCCGAGACACGCACAGGTCTCTGGGTGTCACCGTTGCTTTCTGGAAGTTGGTTCCTTTGTTGCTTCTCTCAGAAGAAAGAGAAACTGGGTTTGATGTGACCCAGAGTTAGGCAAAGAGCTGCCAGTGGGGTGTTTCCACACGAGGTCCTTGCTCAAAATATGCAGGTAATCCTCGACTTACCACCATTCATTTAGTGACTGTTCAAAATTACAATTGAATTGGATTGGATTGAATTGTCACTGAAAAAAGTGACAACCAAATTTCACACTTACGACCATTGCAGCAGCCTCCCCCGGAGTCACCTGATCAAAATTTGGACACTTGGCAACTGGCTCGTATTTGTGACAGTTGCAGAGTCCCGGTGTGTGTGTTTGTGTGTGTGTGTGTGTGTGTGTGTGTGTGTGTGTGTGTGTGTGCTGTGATCCCCTTTTGAGACCTTCTGACAAGCTAGTCAGTGAGGAAGCTGGGTTCACTTAACCACCGTGTTACTAATTTAGCGACTGCAGCGATTTGCTTAACGATGGTGGCAAAGAGAGGTCGTAAAATGGGGCAAAACTCACTTAACAGCTGTCTCGCTTAGCAACGGGAATTTTGGGTGCCGTTGTGATCCTAACTCGAGGGCTACTTGCAATCCAAAAAAAGGCCAAGAACAGGAAAGGGAGGAGAGAAATATCGGAGACTCTTAATTGGCTGGGCTTGAAGGTGGAAGGAAAAAAACCTTGTGAGCTGTTGACCCTGAAATTCTGGGTGGCTGAAGAAGAGGGCTCCTTCACACACACACACACACACACACACACACACACACACACACACACACCTTGCGTGGGAGGTGCTTCATCTCGAGGCCTCCTCTTTCCTCCTGCAGACTCCAACCCCAAGGCCGGAAGGAAGGTGAATTGCCTTTTGTCCCCCTCTGTCCGAGGAGCTGAGACAAAGGCAGGGAGCCCCCCCACCCTGCAGCCCTTTCCTGGGCATCTGCAGGAGGGGTGGGCAGGGGGGGGGAGCTGGGCTTTCTGAGGAGCCCCTTGGACCGGAAGGGGAGGGTGAAGGGGAGCAGTGCCTGTGACAAGGGGGTAGCCTGCAAGGAGGGGACTCAAGCTGGGGGTTGAAGGAGCAGCCGTGACCCACTGGAAAAATCGGAGGGGCGGCTGAATCCCCTCCTTTGATTGCAGAGCTTCAGGAGGACCCTCCGGGCGGAGTGGACACCGGATGGCCGTCAACAAGAGGCAACTCATCATCTTTGGAGGCTTTCATGAAAGTAGCCAGTGAGTCTGCTCTCCTGTCCTTCCCTTGAAGGTGCCCCCATCGAGCGCAAAGGAACCCAGTGTCAACGCTGCTGACATCGGAGTTCCATCTGTCGGAACCATGACACCCAGGGCAGGTGGTGGCGGTTCAGATCTTGACTCCTTCGCCCTGCTATTGTCACCGGGCTTTCCCTGGAGGAGCATATCATGACCTTATGATGACAGCCTTTTCCCAAAACTGCTCAGCCCCCACCTCTCCCACATTCAAGGAAGGAGCCGAGTGAAGAGCCATCTTTGTCGGTCCTTTTTCAAATGCTAAGTGCTTAGGCTTTATTTTTCGTGGTTACTCAACTGGAGTGCTTCTCTAGGCAGAAAGTTCAGGCAAAAGTGATAGAAGTTAACTTATGGGCAGCTCATGGAATCTGGAATGTGGGGCTGCCTAGGGCAAGGGTGGGTCACCAAGAGAAGTCAGAAGGTCTACAACAGATGAAAGGCTGGAGGGTCAGGGCTGTGCCCGCGTTGCTCATGCTCTCATGGTCGGCCCTTCATCCATTCTGCTGGAGATCTGTTGCCAACTCAACTATGCCTTCCATCGCTTGTGTTTGATGTTTTTGATCAACTAGAGACTACATCTATTACAACGATGTCCATGCTTTCAACCTGGACACCTTTGCTTGGTCCAAGCTGGCTCCTTCTGGGATGGCCCCAGCCCCAAGGTCAGGTTGCCATCTGGTTTCAACACCTGAGGGCCACCTCATGGTCTATGGAGGCTACTCCAAGCAGGTGAGGGTCCCCTTTTGCTATTAGAATTGGTATGAGTCATCAGTCTTTTAGGACTAGAAATTCTTCCAGGTGGTTTGGAACACATTTGAAAGGGATCAATAGGAGGGGCTTCACAAAAACTGCCCTTAGGTGCTATGGATCAGGCTGTGGCCTCCACTGTTGCTAGATTGCCTTTCCCACCTTCCCTCACCCTGGCAGCCACTTCTGAATAATTATAGCTCCGCAGCTTCTGGAGGACCTCTTTCCCACCCGTTTCTCAGTTACGAATGGCTGAAGCATTTGCAGGATGAAGTTCTAAGTTCCCCTAGGAAAATATTTGGGGAAAGTCGTTGGGAATCTCACCGGTCAAAAATCCTGACACTTTGCTCTTCTAGGTGAAGTAATAAAACAAGGGCTAGAAGGATTGCACATGGTTTGTAAGAAAGATTTGTGGAAATAGTTCCTTGATGATAGCTTAGTTCCAATTCTATGATTCCATAATGCAACTTCTTTTGTTGTGCAGCGAATTAAGAAGGACGTCGACAAAGGGACCCTCCATACGGATATGTTTCTCTTGAGTGCTGAAGGCTTGGGTAAGTGTCCTTGCTGAATTTTTTGCTATGCTGAGGGTTGAATGGTGTGTGTGTGTGTGTGTGTGTGTGTGTGTGTGTGTGTGTGTGTGTGTGTGTGTTTCTTCCAAGCAACAAAGGATTCTCATGTTGGCTCTATACCAGGGGTAGGCAACCTTGGCTCTTTTATGACTCGTGGACTTCAACTCCCAGAATTCCTGAGCCAGCCTGGCTCAGCTTGGAAACCTCTCCCTTTCCCCTCAGCATGGCTGGCTCAGGAATTCTGGGAGTTGAAGTCCACGAGTCATAAAAGAGCCAAGGTTGCCTACCCCTGGTCTAGACCCTCCTCATGTCCCTTAAAGCCTGAATTTTAAGAAGTTTCCCTATTATTATTATACTTTTTCATCCATCTCTCACTTTTCTTGTTCTGCTCTTCTATGTTTGACAGAAAAATGGGCTTGGAGCAGGGTGAGCCCTTCTGGAGTGAAGCCAACACCCAGATCCGGCTTCTCAGTGGCCTTGGCGCCTGGCAACCGCTCTCTTCTCTTTGGGGGCGTCCACGATGAGGAAAAGGAAGAATCTCTGGAAGGCGACTTCTTCAATGACATCTATTTCTGTGATCTGGCAAAGAATCGGTGGTTTCTTGGACAGTTAAAGGTTTGTGGAAAAATCTCACACAGTAAGGTTTTTTCAGAAGCTCTTTAGAACGTCTCTTGTACTTGGGTTGGATTTTCATGTTCTTCTGGTCCATGCTTGTCTCCATCCTAGGGGTCAAAGTCCGAGAGAAAGAGAAGACGACGCGGAGCAGCGAAAGGGGAGGCCCATCAGGCTGCTGGTGGAGGGGATGAGGTGGAAGGGCAACCTCCCCCGGGCCCTGTGGAGATGGTCAAGGAGGTGGTGGCAGAGGATGGGACTGTGATGATTGTCAAGCAGCTCATCTCAGCTCCTCAGGGGAAGTCCACAGAGTCCCCAGAGTCTGAAGAAGACGACGATGACAGGGGAAACGAAGCCTCCAGCCCTCCAGTGGAGCCCTGCCCGCGTTCAAATGCCATGCTGGCAGTGAAGCATGGGGTGCTCTACCTCTACGGGGGGATGTTTGAGGTGGGGGACCGCCAGTTCACTCTCAACGACCTCTACGCCCTTGACCTCCACAAAATGGAAGAGTGGAAGGTGCTTGTGGAGATGGACCCAAGTGAGTTAAGACCTTCCCGGTCTCCGTCTGCTTTCAGGTTTCGTCTCTACCTTATTTTCTGTACCTGCAGATGTCTTCATTTCTTGTCTTCCTTTATTTTTAAAAGGGAAAAAAAAAAACCTCGAAGATGGTTAGCTTTTACCATGGTTAAAGAGAAGCTTGTAGAAAAATATCTGATGACATTCTGGAACTTGGGAAGGTTGGACCATGTTTCTAGGATCAGGAATCTGAATTTTTGGAGATTTCTTTCCCTTCCCTCTGAGAAAGCAGAAACAAAATTACACACCCGACTTTGTGCAAACTGGTTTAAGTGGCATAAAGTCTGGCATCGCCAAGTTTTGCTTCTTACTCAGAACCCAGACTTCCTCCTGACCCAACAGAATCCACTCAAATGATTTCTCCACATGCTAGCAGAGAAAGCTAGCCTGTGACCCAAGAAGACCAGTCCAGAATCCTTCTTGATCTATTAGATTTCCTTGCTGATTTTGTCAGCCTTCTCCAGACAGCTTCCAACATTCCCCAAAAGCTGGGTTCTTCTGAGCAGCAGAGGTTGTCTTTGTTGCACAGAAAGTACACACAATCATTTTATAGCAGTTGCTCTTAATTTTGCTTTTGCTCTTTGGGTTCAGTGTTGTGATTATTCTTGGGCTTTAACTCCTCCTCATCTGCTAAATCTCCTCTCTTGTGGCTCAAATGGCCCCCTGCAAGGTGGCTTCTGAAGCACAGGGCAACCTGCCTATTTAACAGCCTACCTGTTATCCCCAGGCCAAGAAAGGAGGCTGAATTCTAGTTCTCTACATCAGACCCCTGAAGGGAGCTGGGGCTGGAGGAGGAATTCCAGAGCCTGCAGGTGTCCCTAGACACGTGAAGCCCGATTTAGAGTTCCTGAATTCTTGGCTTGGAGACGTTCCTCAAGAGCTGAAAGACAGCTGGGTTTAATTCTATCCCAGCTCTCTCATGTTAATCTGAGACAAAAGCTTATTTGGACCGATTCAGAGACAGGGGATGGGCCTGTGGCTGAAGGTACCTTCATGCTGAGGGCTCTGAATATATGTCACCAACCAGCCAGCACCGAGCAGCTAATTTTGGCCGGGCTTAATCCCTGGAAGAACGACTTCACCGTGCCTTGGCCTCGCTTGATCCTGGCCCTGAACTTTTTCATTAATCCTAGCAGGGGCTACTTAGTGCTTTCTGTTCTCTTAATATGGGCTGGAAATACTTTAAACCTTCCTATCAGTTGCTGGAATTACTGGGGAACTGTCTGGTGGGGAAGGGAAGATCCTTAATGAAATCCTTCCACAAGTGATTATTTTTACCTAAATCTGAGCTTTTCTTGCCCAGGAACAGTCCAGCCACCATAGACTAGTCCAGACAGATTTCAGCAGGAGATGCCCCAAGGACTCAGAGTCCTCTCTGGATCTCCAGACTTTGAGGAAATTATTATTACTGTACAGTCTGGGCCCTTCTAAGCTCTGCCCCCTACAATTCAAGCAAGATTCACCCTCTTTGGAATTAGAGTCACAGCTCAGCCTCAGGTTGACTTCAGCATCTTTCCTATTCATTTGGAGGGCACCCCCAGTCATTTAGAGGCTAACATGGAGGACTGATGGTCATTTCAGGAACAATTCTTAACAACTAGTGTTAATTTTGAATGTTCTTCTGCATGCGAGGATGATATATTAGCATGTGTGCATTCCTGTATATTTGTTTATGTGTGTATGTGTATATATATATATATACACATACATACACACACACACACACATCGTCATCTTCAGGCTGGTGTTTTTGGCTTTGTGCTCCTAGAAGCATGAAGCCAAAAACACCAGCCTGAAGATGACGAATGAGACTTCGTCGAAATGTCGCCAAGACACTTCCAATTTGACGCGGGAGAAAACCCGAATAACCAAAGACCTACATACATACATACATGTTTTACTGTGACAGAAACTCAGGAATGGCTTGAAGAATCTGAGTCCGATGAAGATGTGGAAGGTGCTGTGGGAGGAGAGGAGGAGGAGGAAGAAGAAGAGGACTCTGAGGAGGAGGAGAGCGGAGAGGATGGTAAGGCCACCAAAAAACCCTGGACAAGGACCCCTGTGTCCAGCGTGTGTTGAGAAGGAAGCGGTTCAGTTCCTCACCTTTGGGTTTTGATTCCCATGGGCAGCTCTCATGGGCCATAGCTGTGTGGGGATTCTTTGATGAACAGGGAAAAGGAACAAGGCTTCCCAACTGGACGTTCTCCAGATGCTCCACTGAAGCTCCAACCCTAGGCAGGTAATCTGGAGATTTAGTATTCCTCACAGGCTGCCCTTGATTCTAGTAGGTCCAAAGGACAGAATATGACACCCCCAGTGAGACAACTCCTTCCTCGTCTCAGTTCTACACTGACTATTTGCTTTTTCTTCCTTCAGACAAGGAAGAACATCCAGCTGTGCAACAGGATGAAACATTTGCAGACTACCTTTCCAAGACAGAGCAGTACTGGGTGAATCTGGCTCGCCAGAACTTGGGCCCTGATGCCAAAGAGAAGAAGACGGTGAAGGTGGGACAGGCTATGGCGAAGGCATTCTACGAAGGTGCTACCTAGGCAAAGCTTACCAGTGATGGGCCAAATGGGTGTGCTTGGCCAATCCCGTCTTCCACAAGGCAGGATCTGACTTGACAGTTGATTGCTTAGAAGGCCCGTGGTGAATAAGTTACTTCTGTCAAGGATTTGAGAGCAAAGTAACTGACATATGCTGAGAAAATCTGACTTTGTTTTTGACTGATGTAAGTCAAGCCAATGCTTTGAGGGAGAAGCTTTCTATGGGGTTCAATCCTTTACAGGCAGACAAGTTTTTACAAGATTCGGGATCTTCAGGAAAATCCATCGCACAATGTTCTTGTGTTGTGAAGCTAGCTCTGTCAGAGAGTCCCAGTTATTACTGCTTCTCGTGGACACTTCTGAGTTGTGGTGTGAGGATGCTGAATGGCTGGAGGAGTTTCCGATGGCCCTGTGCATGTACGGTTATGCTGGAAGAGAAAGAGGGATGAACGCAGAAAACGGAAAGCCTTTCGGGAGTGAGCGGCTGGAATAACACCTTGAACGTTTAACAGAAGCCACATCTCACACAGATGCAGTCAGGAGGCTGGAATTTGCCATTTTAAGAGAGTTTACCAATAAAAATGCTTTTGCTGGTGAGGGCGGTCTTTTTATTTAATGAGTTATTTATTTGAGCAGGATGTATCAAGCGCTGGCAGGGCGCATCTCTCTGCACCATCATTAGTGCTGCTTAAAAAGTCAGCTTGTGTGGGGAAAATGCGTGGTGGACCGAGTTTTCCACCAAATTACTCATGTCTTTGTTTAGGTCAGGAGAACATCAATAAGCAGAATGTGGGGGCCTTTAGGAGAGGGATGGGAAAGGGGCTTGGTTCCAAACCCCTTGTAGCCTGGAGCTCTTTCCATGGGTAACTCTAACTCTCTTACAATCTGTTGTAAAAGAAATTGGAGTTGAAAGAGGTGGCCTTCCAGAGGTTGGCCTCCAAATCCTGTCCGTCCCATGGCTAATAGTAAATGATGGGAAGGGTAGTCTAACAGCTTCAAGGTCAAAAGCTCACGCTTTCGCTTTCTGTACTAAAGAGAGAATAAAGGAAAACGGATCAATAGCAACCTTTCTCAACTGCTTCTCTGCATGTACCTTGGGATCCAAGACCCATAATTCACAGCCAACATCTGAAAGACTGCCCTCTTGGCTATTTTGCTGGGTAGCTAAGCCACGATCTTCCAGAGGTTGCCCAAGCGGCAATGCCTGCTAATGTACATCAGGGGAAAAGATGGAGAAGATTTGAACAATATCAGGAGGGTCTCGGTTGGCCCACCGTGGCTCTTGATAATTGCACTGGGTCTGGAGTAAGGAGCAAGTTGCATTTCCCTCACTGGAGAGTCAATGCAGGGCCACAGTGCCATTTCTGGATTGGTGGGAAAGGCATGGGAATCCAGTTGCATGTTTTCCAGACCATCCCCAGCTGTTGACCAGGCCTCTTGGATCCAGCTTTGCAAGGTCAGCTTGGGCTGCAAAGCTACTTGGATGCATCCTTCGCCGAAACTTGGTGATGAAGCTGTGGGTTCATTTTTGTCTGGTGTCTGAATAATTTTTTAAGAAGTGATTATTAAATCGGGGGTGTCCCACCTTGGCAATTTTAAAACTTGTGGACTTCAACTCCCAAAATTCCACAGCTAGCATACCACGGAAGTAGTATCAGCCATCATTAACCTTCCCAGTTGCACAAAAACCCCATGGGGGAGAGAAGATCCTCTCCGTTTATGAAATAGAATTGGGACACCCACAAGGTATGGTCAAAAAAGTCAACATGGCAGCCAAGAGTGAAACAAAGCTCCATCTGGGCATTGCACACACATGAAGTTCCATTAGATATAAAGGAAGGTTTGGGCTTTAGACACAACACACATGAAAAGCAGCCAGAGCCTTGATTGTGTCCTACTTCTGAACTCTTGATCCATCCGAAGAGAACAACTGTTGTGCCTTTTTTCCACGATAGAAACTCAAAGGACGCCACTGCATCCTTAGTAACAAAGACGTATTTTCAGTGAGTGACCAAGGCAGAGAACCCCACCTTGCCCTCCCCCAAATAAGAAAAAGAAGAAAAGAACAACGCAGGCATCTTATAAAGATGTTTTGAACCATACCAAAATTAAGTGATACATAGAGGAGAGAAAACAAATTATAAAAAGAGCATTACATACTCAGAGGCTGTTGTTGACAATGTTTTCGTTGTTGTTTTTGTTGTTGTTCTCTAGTTTTGGTTTTGGTTTTTCTTTCCTTTTTGTACAGGGATTATGTTGGAAGCTGGAATATACATCCTGCAGACAAAATGCAAAACTATTACATGCTCCGAGGCCAAGCAAGGCATCTGGAAATGGCTCATGGCAAGATGGAAGAAGGGATGCCCGTCACGCCTCGTTCCTCACGGTGCCACGGGGGCTCTTGGGGGGGGGGGAACATTCAAGCATCTTTCCCCATAGAGAGGGGCTGACTCCTAGGCAATCTGGGGGATGCATTTCCTGGAAAACCTTGGTCATCTTTCAAAACAAAACCTTTCTGGATCTATTTTAAACACCTGCTGGAAAGGTTTGAAAAAAATGTGTTGAATGAGATTATTTTTTTTAAAAAAAGATTGTGCAGTTTATAGATACAGGATTTTGACCTGAGTCTCAGTATCCTGCAGGTGACTTTATGCAAAACTTTGGTAGGATGGGCGGTCAATAAATTTTACAAATGAGTAAAATAATTTTCTATTGTCGCCTGGGACAATGAATGATTTCAACACATTGGGTGGGAAAAATATTTTGGACTTCAAGAAGAGAGGAGAGGGGCTTAAGACTTGTCTGCTAGATATGGCGGTTTAAATTATTCAAGAAATGGTGATTAACCATCAACGTTGTCCTTTGAGTGCCGTCTGCTTGGACTGTTCTCTGTTTTGGCCTTTCCCAGCTCAATGCGAACACCGGGATCGCCCTGGGATTTTCTCAAGGGACCCCCACCTTGTATCTCTATGGCCAGCCGCTGCATATCACCAGGCAATGCCAGGACTGCCGCATCTCTCCGAAGATTGTCTTGAGTTAAACGTCTGAAGAGGGAGGCAATTCACGTGAAACCGCTTTCCTAGATCTGGCTAAATCCACCCGGAGGAACGCTTTCCATCCTGTCTGGTGCTGGGAGGGCGGGAATGCTGCTGCTACCATTCGGCCATGCCACACAGCAAAAGGATTGTGCAAGCAAAGAATTTTTGGGCTAAAATCCAAAACATTACCTAGGTAGGGAAAGGGGTGGGGGTGGGGGAAAAAGGCAAACTGTGAGTGAGACTCAATCGGTGGTGGGTCTTCTGTGAAAAGACTTGAAAGTTGTCGCGGGACAGTTCAAAACGACGACATCCTTCTCCCGTTGGGTCTCTCGCAGCATTATCCCCATTTTCAGACCGCTTGGGAGTGGGTTTTTTGTTTTTTTGTTTTTTTATTAATTATTAACCGGTTGGAGTTTTGCAAACAAGACAGTCTCGGTTTAGATGAAAAAGTTAATAAACAAAATGGCGACTCCAATGTTTAACAAGATCACCATGACGACTAGGATGGGAGCTGAACCCTGAAACAGAGGAAAGAAAAAGAGGGAGAGGATTATAGGGGGACCCTCAGATCAATTGGGGGAAGGAGAGCTGGTCAATTGCTGCTGGAATTTCCATATCTCAGGGGCACCCCGGAACCAATGATTCCCAAGTCCCTGGGTTTCTCAACCTTGACTACTTGGTTGAAGACTTCAACTGTGGGCTGGCTGGGGAATTGTGGGAGTTAAAGTCCACCACATCTTCAAGTTGCCAAGGGTGAAAACACTACCAAGTCCAATGCAAGGGTCTGTTGGGTTCCCACTGTGTTTCTTCACTGCCCCTTCTCAACTGACCCTTAAAAAGATCCTTAAAAACTGCGCTTGAGCCATCCCCCTCAACTTTTCCAGTTGTGATTCTCCATCCTGTTTCCACCATAGAAGATGGCACAGACAAGCTTTAGGCATTGCATTAAGTCATTATTGGTTGAAGAAGCCCCACTGACCCAGAACTTACATATACAACTAAGCTACGAGCCACAGAGGCTGAGTTCTTATATCACGCTAACCAAAGTCAAATAATCCACATTCAGGGTTTGGGCAGTAGAAGCAGCTAAGAGGCAGGATGAAATGTCCGCACCTTGCTTTTGTTCAGGAGTTATTTTGTGCCATTTTGTGAGAATGCCCGCAAGATACTCTCAGAGGGCCAAATCCTCCATCAGAGATTCTCTTCCTGAGTTTGGGTGAGCGAAAAGGAGGGTCTGGGAAATCTGTTGGCTCCCCAATGGAAGGATTTGTTTTACAGCATTCCTCGTTCCCCATCCAGGAGAAGCAGCCACTTTGGGTGGCAAAGTGTTTAGAACTAAATAGCTGCTGCCTCCTGCAGATGCCTTGAAGGAGCTCTTGGGGAGTTTCCTTAGACCTATCTGCAGGACTGGCATTTCAAGAGGGGGGGATCTGGCAAACCCCCCCCTCTCTCTGTGTGTCTGTCTGTCTGTGTGTGTGTGTGTGTGTGTGTGTGTGTGTGTGTGTGTGTGTGAGAGAGAGAGAGAGAGAGAGGGAGCGCACTCCCCTTTTCCAGCATAGGAAAAACATCCTTGTTGCTGCATAGCAACATACTGCAAGGATGCTGGCCAACCAGATCAACAGCTCACACGCCTCTCCGGGATACCTGGCTGCCCAAGCTTGGCTTTATCCAGGTAGATGCACCTCCCTTTGGCCATCTGTCTACCATCCTTCAAGAACTCATCAGTCCCTTAAATCTGCATCTGTAGCCTTTCAACCCATCAGTCCCTTAAATCTGCATCTGTAGCCTTTCGGTTTAGCTTAAATAGCCCCCATTTCCTGATCTCCGAGGCTGGCAAATGGAGAACATGAGGCTGGCAAATGGAGAACACGTTACACAAACTATAATGGACCTGCTGGGGTTTTCCTTCGCCAGTTCCAGAACTGCTCTAAATATTCAGATTCCACCTGGGAATGTTTTGCTGAAACATCTCTCTGCTGCAACACACAGACTCACAGAGACTCCATGTGCAATGCCAGACTTATTTGAACAGGGCAAAGCCAGGTTGCACAACAAACTCAGCCGCTGCAAAACGCTCCCACAGAATGGAAGCAGGAGCAGCTTTCAGCCACGTGTAAAAGAGAAGGAGTTGGAGAGAGATGTTTTAGTATGAGAACAGGTGGATCCCAAGGATGTCCCTGTCCTTTTAGAGGGAATGAGGATAGAAAACGCAGTTCTGAAACGGGTGAAGCCCTACAAGCAGGCCAGCTCTCACACTGCCTACTGTTTTTTGTTCTTCCCTTTTTCTTCTAGGTTCTACATTTTGAGATTGGGGAAATTTGAACAAGCCAAAGCCAGATTTGACATTCCCCAGGGCCATCGCCTGAGGGCTAAAATCCCAACTCACATCAAAGTGGGTGCCCTTCCTGAGTAGGACTAAAACAGGGTCTTCCAACTTGGCCCTTTTATGACTTGTGGACTTCAACTCCCAAAATTCCTCAGCCAGCGTGCCTGGCTGACAGATTCTGGGAGTTGAACTCCACAAGCCATAAAAGGGCCAAGCTGGAAGAGCCCTGGACTAAAAGGACATGCTGGCTAGTTGATTTGGCTGTATTTAAATTGAATAAATAAATAAATAAACCACCAGACAAGTTCCAAAGTAAACACAAGGGGCAGTTTACACTTGGCCCAAACTCAAAGAGAAGTTCAGCAGTCACTCCAAAAGGCTTTCCCTGCAAAGGGGCTGGGGCCCCATGAATGGCTAATACTCATTGGATAAAGAACATTGCTCCACCATTCCCCCCATTGGCTCAGCAACTGCAGGAAGAATATCTGTCACTAACCTTCTATAAGCTTCTTACCTCTTTGTCCCCTAAATTCCAGCACTTTCCCATGTCCCACAGCCATGGAAAAGGAAAGCCACCCCATAGGATCTGATCCTGACCAGAGTCTGACAAATTCCCTGGACAGATGTTATATTCACACCTGACTGGTCTTGCACAGTATGGGAACTCCATCGGATAAAGCAAACCAGGTTTAGCATGATTTGACATTCATATATAGACAAAACCTGGGTTTCCAACACATCCCAACTTTGCTTAGCCATCAACCCATTGTAGCTGAAAGATCCTCAGGCCACACAGAGATCCATGATTTGACCATCAGCAGAGAAACAAGGGCTGCTGGGAGATCTCGTTGCTCAGTAAACCAAGGCAATCCTTTCAATTATATCAAAGGCTTTCTCAGATCTTAGCCCCTGCTAAGAATATTGTATAGTACTACCTGTTCTAAGAAAACCGCTTCATTGATTTATTTTTCTTAACAAAATCAAAAAAGGAGGGGGAAGAGGATGATTCTCGGTTTGCTTACTTTGCATAGTAGGCAAGAATTTGTAAAACTCATGTTCAACAGTCTTTGTTTTTAAATTAGACTTTCTGAATTGGTTGATGATTGAAAACATAGACAAATAAACTAGCACTGAACAAGGACACCACTGAGTGGAGGGCAAACCTGCTTGCTTCCAATATTTCTTTTACGAGAACGATTGTGGGGGATGACTTGAAAGTTATTCATTCCATCCCAGACTGTCAACAAACCACATTCTGTCTTGGTTCCTTGTGGGATGCAAATACAAGCAACCTCAGCTGTCCAAGAACTGTCCATTCAGTTGCTAAGCAGAGATGTGGAGGGTTTTAAGCTGGAATTGATAGTTTCAAGGGAGTTGATTATTGTCCCCTAGACACATGAATGGATGACACTGCTCTCAGCTTGCCTGCCCCTACACCGCCCCAAAGGTGGCTGATACCTCTGTTCCCTTGTCACGCTTCTAAAATTCCACACAACAAGGCTCATTGTGAACCACAGCAGAGGCCACGCTGTAATAAAGACTGCCAAAACTCTGATTGGATGGTCCTTATTTTCGTTAGGTAACACGATTTGATTTGAGTAGAAAGTCAGAAGATAAATTCAATTAAAAGTTTAAAATATAAACGTAGGGAGAAAAGGCACCAGTAATTGCAAGCACTGCATGCCAGTGAGCGCTCGCATATCCCAGGCACACTTTGTATGCGTGCAGAGCCCACCGTCCCTCAAGTGGTCTGCTCATCACAGCCAGGGCCATCACCGTCACTATTTAGGAAGTCTCACAGACCAGCCCATCCAGAGTGCTCCACTTACCGCGCTGGATTTGAGCTCATCTCCATTTTCCGCCTCTGACTCTAGTGCAACAGGTAAGGATTTCTGTGGTGGAGAGCAAGTTAAGTCCCACCTCAACAGCCGGGGTTCACCTTTATCCCCGAACCTCAGGCTCTCTAGTTTCTGCACTGCTGGCTCACCAGAAGATGCCGGCCTGACGTTCTCCTTGTTCTGGGAGGTTGACCTCAGCCTCTGGACACCAAAGGCCCGCTCTTCCCCAGGATGTTCTTCAGCCAGGTTCTTGCTGAGACCCATTTTGCCGTGATGCCTTTTTTGGGACTGCATCTCTTGCATGTAAGCGTCCATCCTCATGAGGGGCTTCATCTCCATCTTGTAATTGCTCAGCTTCTCCTCATCCAGCTCCGTGAGCTTGTGGCTCCCCGAGCCGTGGTGGTGTGGGCGGTGATAAGTCCACGAAACCACGGTTGGAGGGTCTGCCCACCTCTCCCGTGGTTTGTGATTGGCGGTCCCATGCTTGTGCCCACCACTCCGGCCTCGATGGTCTTCCAACTGGCCACTGCGCAAGACCCCGCCTCTCATCCCATGAGGCCCGCCCTCCTTGTCTTCGCCCCAGCTGTTAGGCCTCATGAACTCCCTACTGCGTCCCTCCAACAACATCTGGATTTCCCCGCCCCTCTCCTCGTCCATGGAGAGCTGCCTGGAGAAGTGGGCATTCTTGTTCCGACAGGAAGGACCCCGCGGTGGGGACGAGGAGGGGCTGGCAGGGAAGCTTTGCAGAGGGCTGTCGTCAGGCGTGAGATCCGAAGGTGTCGTTCCTTTCCTGTAGAGTTCTGGGCTTTCCTGCTGCAGGGGAGTCCCTGTAGAGAGGACCTCGATCTCATCGCTTGAATGCTGGTGCTTTGGCCTCTGACACTCAAGCCCTAGAAGGCGAACAAGAAGCAGAAGATGAGCAAAACAAGGTGGCCGTTCCACAAGGACCTCCTTCCTGTTGTCGGTATAGAAGAGGGCAGGAGAATACCTACCCATGTTCTATGTCAAGAAGAGATCTTAGGAACGGATGCAGAGAGAGCTAGCCTGTTGTACAAATACAACTAAGTGTCCTGAGACAGCTTCAAGACTACCAGTTTAACGGCCTCACTCCTTTTCATGAAACGCTCTCACCAAAAGTTTTCCTGAATATAATACACAATCATCACTGCATTTCTCCAGGGGAAGGAGGGAATCCAATCTTAACTGTTGAATCGTTATAAAAAGTGTAGACTCTTGAGTTTAGCTTAGCCCTTGGTAGCTTCACACATACTTTCAAATGAGTTTTTTTTTTAAGACCAGTAAGAAAATAGTTTGCCACTGCTGTTTTCCAGGATCCGAATATTTACTTTTTGGCCTGCAGTCACTTCTGGATATCCTCCTGGCCTTCTTTCCAAGTATTAAACAGGTCCAACCCTGCCTATTTTTTCCAAAATTACTTAAGGCCCTGTATGGGCTACCATCTTCTGCACGGCATTTCACAAAAGGATGTGTGTGCTTTCTCCAGAACTTCCTCTAGAAAATAAATTAATAAATAATTAAAGTGACATTTCTGCCACATTCTTCAAATTGTCTTGGCAAATAAATGGGGGGGGGGAAGATGTCTACTAAAAAGCAAAAGCAAAATAAGTGGAAATGAAAACACTGAAACTGTTAAGCATACGTGGTACTTGAAAAGATGGTAGGCCACTAAATCGTGAGGAAGACATTTTTAAGAAGAGATTGGACAGCCATTTGTCTGAAATGGTATAGGGTTTCCTGCCTGAGCAGGGGGTTGGACTAGATGACCTCCAAGGTCCCTTCCAACTTTTTATTATTATTATTATTATTATGGATCATCGCACAGTCAGCCAGATGTTCAGACTGGATTTGGCATGTTGTCTACCTATCGAGTCCTTACCCAGGACCTGGGATAGGCAGATGTGGATGTTTGATGGTATTACAAGTATCGTTGCAGGATATTATTATTAATATTAATAATATTATTATTATTATTACTCTTGTATCCATTGGTTTTACTCATTCATAGCACTTGGCACACATTTCCAGTGAAGATCAAAAGAGTTGGGTAACCTTTTCCAAATAACAAATTGTATTCAAAGGCACTGCAAGCTACACTCACTTCACAAGACGCATCAGACACCCATCAAAAGCAGGCAGAATTTCAGTCTCGTCATCACAACCACGATTTTGACTTTTTTGATCTTCACTCTGTGGTCACTCCTGAACACATCCTTCAAAAATTCAAATTCCAGTACATTCTGGTATTGGCAGTTTAAGGAATAAATCCCCTCCGTCGGAAAACCAGCCCTGTTTGCAAGTAAAGTCCCAAGAGTGAAGCATTTTCCAGATGTTGCTTGTTTGGGTAGATTATGTACGTATCTACAATCCATACCCATAGCTAACCACAATGCGAAATGTCTTGCCAAAGTCTCCATAGCCCAAGGAACCCTGGATTAAAATTACTTAAAGCTTCCATTTTTCACTAAGTTAGCAAAAGCCTTCAACTCAGTGCAAAGACTAGCATTGTTTGTTGTGGCAGCTGTGTATTAATTAGTGGGTTGCTTAAAGAAGGCAGCTTACATCTTTTCTTCCATCCTATTTTTGGCCCTGCCCAAGAAGACAGAGACACGCGCACGGAGCTAAGGCAGACCTTTATAGCAAAGCCTCTGCAGATCCCTGTTAGTGACTCCCTGCAAGCCTGTTGTTTGGATTATGTCTCCCAACGCTGTTTATTAGAGCTTGTGCTGATTTGGGCTGCTGTTTTTTATGTGGGCTGCTCCATTCCAGTGGAATGAATTTTGGCACCATTATTTCAGGTTCTCCTTTTGTTGGTTTATGTTTTAACGCTCACGACTCTCAATCTCCCCGAGTGCAGAAAATTAGGTTGTACATAAATGGGCAATTCTTAATGAATCATATCAGATCCACTAGATTCCTTTTTGGTCTCAGCAGTGACCGGCTACAGCCTCATCCGCCTTGCTGCTCCAATGATTACCATGGGGGAGATGTACCCTGTTCCTAAAAATAAAATAAAAAAAGACAGCCAACAGGGCATCAAGATGGTGAGCACTCTACATCCCAAATGGAGAAACAAGGAGGAATCCACAAAACGTGGATGGCCCTGCCTCCCTAGCCTAGAGGTGGGGACAGGAGAAAAGGAGCAAAGTCCGAGGTTCTGCAGAGGCTCTCCAGATTGTACTGACCGTTTTCTCGGTGCTGGAAGGAAGGCGAAAAGTCTTTGGCAGTGATCCTAGCAACCCGCGCTTCCTCCTGAGATTTCTGTGCTGCTGACACGGCGGCATCGGCCTTCGCCCGCGAATGGGAGGTCCTGTGGGAGACGGAAAGACAAAGGTATGAATGGTTATGGCCGTTGGCTTGGGTAAATGCGCAGATATCTGAACAGGGAAAGGAGGACATCAACAACTGGAAGGAAGACACACAAACTATTGGACTTTTTTGGCAAAACTCACAGCGAAGAAATGAACTTAGGCCTGCGTATCAGTGAAGTTACTTTTTCCAGCACAAATTTAATCGCAACGCTTTTCCAGCAAATTTGACTGTTAAGAACATACGCTAATGATAATGTAGAATCAAGAAGAAGACACTTTCCACATTTCACCCAAAGAACAGAAGAGGAGTGGTGGACGCTACAGACTAACAGATTTGAAGGAATTGGATCAAAGCCAATGGCTAGAATCAGGAAATACATAAATTGAGGCTATTGAGCATCAGCGGATGAGGGAAAAGAAAGAAACAGGCAGGTTACAAGATCACAATGCAGATGATTGAATCATTATTGTTGGGAAAGATGGAGGGCAATAGAAGAAGGGGACAACAGAGAATGAGGTGGCTGGATGGAATCACCGAAGCAGTAAGCGTGAGCTTAAATGGACTCCAGAAGATGGTAGAAGACAGGAAGGCCTGGAGGAAATGTGTCCATGGGGTCGCAATGGGTCGGACATGACTTCGCAACGAACAATAACAACAACAAATGAAAACAGTTCAAAATTTAACAAATTAAAGACACTCAAAAATCTGGACGATATTTGATTGTAAGGCTAGGGCTGCTGGATGGAGGATAGGAGGACAAGGATCCGGTTTGCCAGACTTACTCCCTGAGCCCACAACTTGTCTGGCTGGTTCAGCTCAGCAGCCCTAACGTTCAGCCTCCAGCTCCTATCTTGACCTTCCAATCAAGTCCCATGGATCACGGTTGAAACTCATTTGCAGGAAGGTCCTGATGGGCAAGGCAACTAGAACAGAGGTCTCCAACCTTTTGGGAACCAGGGACCGGTTCCATGGAGAGAGTTTTTTCCACAGACCAGAGGGTGCGTGGTTTTGTGTGCTGCCTGCATCCTGCAGATGGGGCTTCCCTTGTTTGTGTGGACTGGTTGCTGGCATGGCGCAGCCTGGTAGTGGTCCACGGACCTGGGATTGGGGACCCCTGATCTAGAAGATTGACCTAATGGGTGAAAAATAAGGTTGCAATCCTTCAACCTGACACACACCTGTTTTTCAACAGGCAGCAGTTTCTGTAGCCATGAGAGAATATCCAGGGCTACAGTCTCCCCTTACGCTCCAAAATGCGACTGGCGCAGTCGCACATGAAATGTCAGATATGTGGGATTTTTTTCTAGATATATTAATCAGTCCCTCTGATAAAAATGAGCATCGCGTACTATTCATACCGGTTCCATCTTTACTACAGCTGGATGATCCTTCCCAAGGCAAATTATATAATGTATGCCTGCAGGCTAAAATTAATTTGTTTTTACTTGTAATGTATCAGTAGCAACACAATTATTTCTCCTCAAGGTAAAGACACACTGGCACTGGAGCCAAACGATGGGATGTCATTAGCAAGCATCTGTTAGATTCTACAGGAAGTCTTCGTTGAGCAACTGTCCCATTGAGCGACTGTTTGCAGAGATGATGTGGATGAAAAAGTAAGCTGCAACATATTTGTGCTGGGGAAGGAATGGAGCTGATGAGGGGTGGACCACCCTCATCTAATAATCCTGTTCCCACTTCATGTAAACATAGGATCCTTTTGCAAAAAGAATGCATTACATCAGCGTTTCTCAGCCTTGACAACTTTCAGGTGGGTGGACTTCAACTCCCAGAATTCCCCAGCCAGCAAATGTTGATCTTCCTCCTTACTGGGGACCTCAAAAAGTGCTGCATCCTATGACACCCCTCTCCAAAGTGGTTTGCTGGAATTAATCTTTGCTTTCAATGTCCCAAAGATGCTTTTCCAAAAGGACAACTGGACGTCTTTTGTATTTTTCTTTGAAAACGTTTCCCTTCTCATCCAAGAAGCTTCTTCAGTTCTGGATGAGAAGCTTCTTCAGCTTCTTGGATGGGAAGTAAAATGTTTGCAAAGAAAAAAAAATCAAGAAAATCCAGCTGCCTTTTGGGGAAAAAAAGTACCTTTGGAAGATTGAGCATCTCCATAGAGGCTTTGCTTTCAACGGAGCTTCGGAGAAAAAAAACCCATCAAACAGAAGAGGCTTCCACCCACCAGCTGCTCTAGGTATCTTTGTGGTCCAACTTTTGGTGGACCAATCTGGGCAACCCTTCCCCTTTGAAGGACCTCTGTGTGATGCCAGGCAGTTACTATAGAGATGGGACGGGAGAGGCAACAGGGGCGGGAATTCCTGCTAGAACCAAAGGCACAAAATCCTCTCTTTTCCTAGAGAGCTCTCTTGGAAACAAAGCCACCGAAGGCAAGAGGGAAGGGAGAGGAGGAGAGAAGCCCACAGTGGGGGAGGTTTCACCTCCAAATTTAGACTGAGCCAGCCTTGACTGCTTAGAGCAGTGTTTCTCAACCTTGACAATTTTAAGGCATGTGGACTTCAACTCCCAGAATTCCACAGCCAGCATGGCTGGCTGTGGAATTCTGGGAGTTGCAGTCCACATGCCTTAAAATTGTCAAGGTTGAGAACCACGAGGCATAGAATCTGGATGCTTGGGAAGAGGGATGGGGAGGCAAAGCAGGCACGGGATCAGAGAGATCCACGACCAGGGTTGCTCCCCCAAAGGAGCAAACGACAAGAGGAAAGCCCTCCCAAAGACGATCAGACCACCTTCAGGAGTGCTGCTGGTGGGTGCTTCTCTGCGCAACCATCGGCCAGTTTATGATCAGGATCCCCAGCCAGGAGCTCTTCTCCAGCTTCAGGGGCATCGTCTCTGTCTCCCTCTGGAAGCAATCCACGGAGAAAGGTAGCCTGATCATCCTGGCCTTTGGTGCAAGAAGACTGGCGGGAGATAAATTATTGATTGACACTGCAGATGTTGGTTTCTGTCTGCAGACTTAAGGAGCCATCCATGCAGGAGGAGGAAGAATGCAGGAAGGGTGCCCTGTTTGTTGGGGGGGGGAGGGCAGAGGAAGGAGACAGCACAGTGTTTCTCAACCTTGACAATTTTAAGGCGTGTGGACTTCAACTCCCAGAATTCCACAGCCAGCATTGCTGGCTGTGGAATTCTGGGAGTTGAAGTCCACACGCCTTAAAATTGTCAAGGTTGAGAAACACTGACCGTCGACAGCAGCTGTTGGTTTCTATGGCCTTGCTTGGGAAACATCAGAGACCCTTTTTCGCATCAATATTCTGTGATTCAGAATTGTTAGTCCCACTAGCCTTGCCACTGGGCCACTGTAGAAGACGGTCTGGTTCATGAAGCATTTCAAGCCATAGTTCCTTTCACAATGGATTGTTGAATGTGCCACAACTATCTGGATTTACACGATATTAAGCTAGAAAGTAATACACCAACCTTACAAAGTGCTAGATCCATGAAGGCTACTATGTCCTGTATTAATCTCATTTCCTCAACCAGCAATAGTTTACCTGGAAGCACATCGTATGTTCCTGACCAACAATAGTTGGCTGGTTCATCTATAAGATAATGACATAGACCATGAAATACAAACGTGGTTGGCTAGGTTTTAAATATCACCCGGAGTCAAAAGTCAACAAAACATGAGCCAGATCAGTATGATATGGAACCCCAACCAAGAGTTGAGTTCAGCCATGATTTGTTGATTTGTTGACTTTTTGACTATTGCAACATCAATCGATGCCAAAAGGAAGCAACATTAGAAGATACAGCATTACTTATGAACCAGACGAGTGACTCTCACTGGTCACTGTAAATACATGGGCCTATAGAGCTCAGAAGGCATGTCAGGAAAGGGGAAAAAAGAACTGAAATAATATTCTAAAATTGTAGGCATTGGAACCGGCAGCCTTCCTGCCCTGAGCATGCTCCAGCTGCATCATTAGGAGGGGGAGGGTCTTTGAGATTTCCACCCATGCAGTTTAGTTTCCACCTTCTCAAAAACGGCCACTGTCTGGTAAGTTCCCCCCCCCATCTCTGAAATTCCACCTTTAACTACATTTATGACTTCATCTGATTCTCAGCAGATTGCCATCAGCATCTAATCAATAATTTATTAAACTAGTAATCAAATATCAGGTTGTGGAAGTAAACCATTAGCCAGCGCCATTAACTTTCTGTAGACAATTTCCAACTCTCATACATCATTACCTCCGTGCTATTCCCTGCTTGCTCCCTGGAACGTGGCCCTTAGCTGGATCTCTAATTGGGAAAGGAAAAGCAGCTAATGAAACCTCTGGCATGACACAAACATCTGCTCTGGCACTCTGAAACCAGACAGGAGAGCAAGTGCCCTGAATTACAAACAGCAAAGGCCTGGCTTCCTGGTTGACAATTGACTTGTCTTAATTGATGCTACAGAGGCAGGCTGGAGAGCATGCAAAGCAGCTCAGCTGCCAGATGGCTCTTTCAGAAGAAGATGCTCCCAGATATCCAGAGTTTTCTCCCCCATCTTTACCAGAATCTACCTCCTAGCACTTGTAACCTCAGCTGTAATGATCCACGTATGGGATTCACTGGTACAAGATGGAGGGATTCTCCTCCAACCTGTTAGACAAATCAATAGAGGATAAAGATAGGAACAGGCAACATCTGAGACAGCCTCTTTCTTAGTTGTTGGGGACCTGCTGTGCACCACTGCCTCTCCTGGGCATCTAGGAAGTCCCTGTGAAGAATCCTATGGTTCCCAATGGCAGGAGCAGAGGAATTTTGTTGGCTATGTTGCCACAGGGCAGTTTGGATCTGGGGTGAGACTCTTCTGGTCTCCCAGAGCATCCATGCCATTCATAGTGGACTTTCACTTAGGACATACTGAGTCCTTCTCAAGATCCCCATCAATGGGATAGCAGCCCCTTTCTTTCCAACCAACGTGCATTTCCTGCTCATTCACGAAACAAGAATAGATCAAATACATATTTCATCTTCCATTTT